TTTATAAAATTATATATTATAAATACCTGAGAGATTGTTAAATATTTGGTAAATCATCATTATTATTTTTATTATTATTATTTTAATGTTGTACTTGTTTTCTTATTCTATTTTACAATAAAGTATAGATAAAAATATAATTAAATGCAAAATCCATTTTTATATTTATATTTAATAATGAATATTGGAATAAATAATTTTATTTTATATTTTATTTTTTTTTAAATATTAAAAATAATTTTAGATTATTTATTTAATGAGTAATTTTAATAAAAAAAAAGATTATTATATAAATTAATTTAACCTATTTTCGCACATTTAATTAAAATAAAGATTATGGATTTTACCAAATATGTTTATAATAATAGACAATATATAATAAAAAGCACCAACACACATTTCATTTCCCCCTTTTTTTAACAAATTTATTTTTTAATTAATTTCATTTTAAATTATTTTTTCATTTTTAAATTTTATTCTATAGAATAAATATTTTTTTATTCTAAACCATATTAAAAGATAAATAAAATTTTAGTTCTATATATATACCTGTTAAAATATTTATATTTAAAAAGAAAAATAAATAAATATAAAAAAATTATAATTCATATATTATTTTCGTAAACGTTTGTAATAAAACTATTCATTTAATAATACTTGTGGAATCGAAGTTCAAAAATTAATTAAAAAAATAAATAATAAAATTAAAATAAAAGTAAATTAAATATAAATTTTCAATGGTTTTTTTAAATATATATTTTTTATAAATAGATAATTATTATTTATACACCAGAATTAAACTTATAAAGTATTAAACTATAGAGAAATAATATTTGAAATTAATTAGTCTTTTTTTTTTAAATTTTTTTTTAAAATTAGATAGGTATTCTGGATATCATTTAAGAGAGAATTTAATGAAATTTTCAAATTTAAATATAGATAAAATTAAAATTCTCAATTTAAAACTATAAAATAAAATAAAATCTATACAGCTATAAATTATAAATTATAATAATTTAATTAAAACATTATTTTAAACAATTGAATATTTTTTATTATTTTTTTTTTTTTTTTTATAATTTTAAAAATTTTTTAAATTTCTTTTTTTTTTTTTTTCATTTACCACTCACATATATTTTTTTTCATTTATCACTCACATATATTTTTTTACATCCAGCTTATATTTTTTTTTTTACATTAAATAATATAATTTATTTTTTTATTTTTACACTTATATATATTTATTTTATTTTAAATAATTATTTATTTTTTAAAAAAAATGATTGTTATTTTATTCATTGGTATTTTTTTATTTATTGTTGTTGGTTCCATTTTTTATTTTTATTTTGGTAAATTTATTTTCAAGAAAAACAAGGGTTGCCGTTGCTCTACCATCAAAGGGGAATTCTGCCGTAATTGTGCCTTTAATGAAGAATACTGGGCAAGACAACGTCATGAAAGTCAACTTCTTGAAGATCATCACAAATTATTTAGATACAAATTATTTGAAGTACAAATGTTTAGACAACATTCATTTCTAAGAGAAAAGTATCAACAGAAATTACAACTTTACGATTATCAAATAAAACTACAAAAACAACAAGACCTACCTTACGAACAACAAATACAAAGAGAACGACATCAAAGACAACAACTAAAAGAAAATCAAATACTACAAGAACAACAACTAAATATGGAACAAGAACAAGTAAGACAACAACAACTACATTATCAAAGACTACAACAATTTGAACTATTTCATCAAATAGAACAACAACATATACAAGAATTACAACAAAAACAGCAACAAATACAACAACAACAACTACAACAACCAAAACGTTATTTTTGTAGATTCTTTTAGAAGTTTTTACTTAGAAAAAATTATATAGTAGATGAAATTTATCACCATCAGCATTCATCTTGTTCCTCATCATCATCAGCATCCTCACCGGCATTCATCTTGGTCCTCAGCATTATCATCATCAGCATCCTCACCGGCATTCTTTTTGGTCCTCAGCATTATCATCATTAGCAGCATTCAGCAGCAGCATTTATCAGCGCATTCATCGTCTGCATTCATCTTGTTCCTCATCATCATTAGAATTCATCGTGGTCCTCATCATTATTAGCATTCATTTTGGTCCTCATTATCATCATGAGCATCCTCACCGGCATTCGTCTTGGTCCTCATCATCATCAGCATCACAGCATTTATCATCATCAGCATTCATCAGCATCACAGCATTTATCATCATCAGCATTCATCAGCAGCAGCATCATCAACCTTAAAGCTTTAGAAAAGAACTTTTAGTAAATCAATAATAATTAATAATTTTATAAAAAAAAAAAAAAAAAAAAAAGAATAATAATAATAATAGGGTATAATAGTTCAATCTATTTGATGGAAGAAATACATTTTCCCTGGCCAGGCAAATATATTGGAACATCAAATGATTTTACTATTTTCAATGTCCTAATAATTAAATTTTCAAATAAAATATAATAAAATATATATATATATAATATATTTTTTTTTTATAAATAATATGTTTATTTTTTACCGTTTTCCTTTTTATTAAAAATAACTCTTCATGATATAATTTTATTTTTATATAATTTTTAAAATATTTCCTTGAGGTTGTTAATATTTTTATTATTTTTTTATTTAGGTTTTTTTTTAAAATTTTTTTTTTTTAAAATTAATATCAACTCATAAAAAGAAGACATTTATAAAAGAGAAATTGAAGGAGGTTCCAAAAAGTATAAATCCGAAGTTGTAACGAAGATTTCCAATTAGATCGTTCATCCCGTTTTTTGATTGGTAAAGAATAGTTTTAGTCGTAAATTTACAGTTTTTTCAAGAAGGTTTAAAAATTCATCAACTTAAAAGAGTTCCAAATGGTTTAAAGATTTCCCCCATATTTCATAAATGAACCCAAGATATTATAGGTATCTGTTAGTAAAGATAAATTAGTTTAATAATTGCCAACGGTAAAGATTTTAATAGAGTAAATGATCCACATAAAAAAAAAAAAATAATAGATAATAGATTCAAAACACAATATAAGTAATGATAATAATCATACAATTATTAGATTCATTATATAACTTAAATAATAAAAACTTTATTTAAACCAACTTAAAATAAATCAAGTCAACTATTTTGAAATTTTTCAATCTAATCAAATATTTATATCTATCAAATTTTCTCTGGCCAAGTAAATATGGTAGAACATCGAATAATATTAGATGAAGACAATATTTAGTAATCCCTATTTTAAGTTTGGTATTGAAAGCAAAACCAACTGTCCAACAATCATGATCAACTTCCAAAGCATCAAAACATCAATTGTTTACCATTTCCTCAGGTTATTACTAGGTTATAATTTAATTAGAAAAATTATAAGAATCTATTTTCAACTCTATCAGACCAATCGAAAATATTTTCAGTATTCGGAAACTGAAACATCATAAAATTTTTTAATAAAATAATAAATATAAAATTTTAAATTTTTTATAAATAATTTTTTTTATTTTATAGAATTTTCCTTTTTATTAAATTATATTTATAAATATATGCTTTATATTTTTTTATTTATTTTTAATTTAGTTTTTTTTTATGTTTAAAAAAATCGATTATAAAAGAAAAAAAAAGGCCACCCCATGGATCTATGAATTTTATTTAGCCACACACTCCGGTCAAGCTCAGTGGGCATACAATTTTTTGCCACATAATAAAATAATTATTTCAGTTTAAACTATGCAGTTGGCAATGATATTGTATGAATTGGGGGATTTTATGGTTTGTAAAAAAAAAAAAATTAAATATAAATTTAAATTTAAAAATTGGTGTTAATGTGTTTATTGATAGAAATTTTATCAATAATATTAATTCATTGGGGCTATACTTAAAATTTAAATAAGTGTATTATATGGTAATATATAAATGGTTAAAAATATTATAATATATTTTAAATAAAAATAAATTTACAGAAATATTTTTTTCTATAAACACTTCCATATAAAAAAAATTATTTTATAAAATAAAAATAAATAAAAAAAAATAAAAAAAAATAAATAAATAAATAAATAAATAAATAAAAAAATAAACTCTTAATTAATTATATACGATTAGACATAATAGAAGAAAAAGATTTTTTTCGAAGTTGTGCATTTAGATTTTATTGTGGAACAATGTATGTTTATGGATGAAGTAAAGTTCCAATATTTTGATAATGACCATGGAAAGTCTTCTTGGGCTTATGAATGTTTTACTAAACTAAATCTTGAAAAAGCGATACACAACTTACTTTAGAATACTATGCAGATAAAATTAAAGGGTTTCAATCATTTGTCATGACAAATGAAGTTGGCATACAGCAAAGATAGTGAAGCAATATTTAGAAGAATAATATACAAGTTTAACCATTACCACCCTACAGCCCAGATATTAATTGAAAATCTTTGGTCAATTTTTAAAGAAATGGTATCAAAAAAAATGTTTCATGACCCCATTACAAGACCTAGTTCATGTCAAAATGCATTTCATTCAATTGAAAAATCAATTATAGAATCATTACATGAATCACTCCCTGACCAAATGGATGCAATATTTAAAGCACACGGAAAATATACTAAATATTAATTAATAACAATCAATTATATATAATTGTAAAAACAAATTAAATTTGGAATTGAAAATGGAATATATTATATTATTATTATTATTATTACTATTATTATTATTATTATTATTATTATTTAAATATTAAGACCATATTTTTTTTTTTTTATTTTAATTTTTTATAAAACTTTTTTTTTTTTTTTTTTTTTGATTATATAAAACATAAAAAATTATTTACAAATAAAAATATAAAAAAAAACAAAATGATAATAGATTTTAATTATTTTTAGAAAAAAAATATTAAAAAAAAATAAAAAAAAATAAAAAAAAATTTTGAATTTTTTGAATTTTTTTTTTTATTAAATTTATCATCATTTATTGTATACACTATAATAATAAAAATAATAGCAACATATAATAATAGTAATGATTAATTTTTTTTTTTCAAAATGGAAAAACAAAATGATTATAGATTTTAATTATTTTTAGAAAAAAAATTAAAAAAAAATTAAAAAAATTAGTTTATACATGTGTATCTGTTTGATTTAGTAGAATGTGCATACTATTTATATAATATAGAAGCATTGGAGTATTTCCTATCAATGAATGTACCAACATTTTTACCAAACTACACAATTAATAATAAAAGTTTTTTCAATGTCATCAATTAAATCATTAGAATTACTATTAAAATATCGAGTAAATATCATAGAACCATATAATATCAATATCAATAATAACAATAATAACATTAATAACACAACAGCAGCTTCATCATCATCATCATTCAGTTTAAACAATAGTAATAGTGATAATTATACAACAACAGTAGCATTTGCATTCAGTTTAAAAAATAGTTATAGTAATAGTAACAACAATACAACAACAGCAGTACCAGAACCTACAACATTCAGTTTAAAAAATAGTAATAGTAACTATAAATAGTAGTATTAGTGAATATAGCAATCTAAATAATAATAGTATCAGTTTAGCCCGAAGCGCAAGTTGTAGTAGTATAAGCAGTTGTAATAGTAATGATATCAATGGGAGTAGCGGTAGTAGTGGTTGCAACAATAAAAACAGTAATAGCTTTTTAATTAATAATGGTAATATAACACTTCCACCACCACCATCATCATCATCATATAGAAATTTAAATAAAGAGAAATTTAATTAAAGAGGAATTTAAATCACCAAATTATATACTACTACATTTAAAAACATTAAATATCGGTAATATTCAAGATACATTAGATAAGTTTCATTCAAACAGATTATAGAATCAAAACACACAATATATTAGTAATGATAATAATCATACAGTTATTAGATTCATCATATAACTAAAATAGTTTCAATAATAAAAGCTTTATTTAAACCAACTTAAAATAAATCAAGTCAACTATTTTGAAATTTTTCAATCTAATCAAATATTTATATCTATCAAATTTTCTCTGGCCAAGTAAATATGGTAGAACATCGAATAATATTAGATGAAGACAATATTTAGTAATCCCTATTTTAAGTTTGGTATTGAAAGCAAAACCAACTGTCCAACAATCATGATCAACTTCCAAAGCATCAAAACATCAATTGTTTACCATTTCCTCAGGTTATTACTAGGTTATAATTTAATTAGAAAAAGTATAAGAATCTATTTTCAACTCTATCAGACCAATCGAAAATATTTTCAGTATTAGGAAACTGAAACACCATAAAATTTTTTAATAAAATAATAAATATAAAATTTTAAATTTTTTATAAATAATTTTTTTTATTTTATAGAAGGTGCATTATTTGAGACATTCATAAATGTTTCATTAAAAATTAGCTTTTTATCTTCTGGAATAGCATTGATACAATCTTGATAAACTGGATTGATTGAGGTGTGTTTGAGCAAATCTGAAATCTCTGAACCTCCATTGGATGCTGCACCCTATTGATCTCTATATTGACAAAGCCAGCTTCTTTTAATTTATCAAAAGAACTGTTCGATTTGAAACACTATTGCCCAAAAGTGCATTCATTGTTTGTTGGAATGCAGCTGGTAAAAATGCATCTGTACACCATGAAGCAATACCCGTTTTACCACCCGGTTTTAAAACACGAAACATCTCTTTCATACCTTGAAGTATATCTGGGAAATAAATTAGACCAAAGGTTGAGAATGTATAGTCTAATGATGAATCTTTGATTTGTTCTAAATTTTGACCATCCATTACTTTGCTTTCAATGTTACTGATTTCTAACTCATTAATGAATTTATCTAAAACTTGAATCATTGAAGGTGAAAAGTCACTCTGAGATAAACTTTGCATTCTTATATTTATCATAAGCGTACAATGACAATGTTCCATATCCACCTCCAATATCACCTGCTCGAATTGGTTGATTGAAATCACCTGTAAATTCTAATTCTGTGATTCCATAAGGTATAGCTTCGCCATATGGTGGTTCTAATGGTTCATCAATATTAATTCTAATTTTTGTTGCATATCTTCTATGTGAATGATATAAAAGCTGATCCATTGATTCATCAATCTCTCTCTATTTTCATTATATAACCTGTGATGTCTTTGTATTTCATTTAAAAGACACCTGTTCCTCCATATTGAAAAAAACAATTTATCATTATTTCTATTTTTATTATCTCTATTTATTCTATTATTTTCATTATCTGTATCTGTATTACATTCAAAAAATTTTCTTTTTTTTATATTTTGTATGCCATGGGGAAAAAAAATAAAAAAATAATAAAAAAAATTGATTTTTTTAAAAATTTTATTAAATTTAATAAAAATAAAAAAAATTAAATTAATATCATTTTATAACTTTTTTTTAAAAAATTTTCAATAAAAGATTATTAAAGTAAATGATCAAATAAAAAAAAAAATCTAAAAAAAAAGGAATAATAATAGGTAAACAAATTATTTATTTTAGTATTTGTATTTAGGGGTGGTTCTTAGTTTTTAGTAAAATATAAATACAAAACACCTTAAATCAATTATAAATAATAATAATATAATAACCAAAATGCCATTATCATTAACTTTGAGAAAATCATAAAAAGATAACTAAGAAACCTTCAAAACCCATTTAGCTACCATTGAAAAAGCTTTAAGCGAACCATTCGAAATTGTATTTGATTTCGAAGATGGTCATTGACCAAATGTAATGATAACTGGGTAACCAATAGCTGTGGATCCATTTTACAAAGATGTTGTTGGTTACTTGGCTAAAAATATCGATACTAAAGTCAGTAAGAATGAAATGGTCAAAGAAGCCTTCTTAGCCGCTGTTTCAAATAAGAAAATTGTTTTTTTGGTTGCCGCTGATGAAAAATTCCGTCCAAAGATTTGTAACACTAATGATGTATTCACCGCTAAATTAGAAACTCTTCTTCCTCACAAGGCACCTACTCTTTAATTACCCGTTTAAATATTAAAGAAAATCAAGCTAAAATGGATGCTAATTTAGTAGCTGTTAAAAAAGCAATGAAATCCGATGCCGATTGGCCCATCGACCAAGCATCATTAGAAACCGTTTACCCACATGTTTTTGCCGATTTAAAAAATAGTTTTGGTCATATTTTTGCAGGTGTTGTCGAAAAAGTTACAGCCAATCTTGCTAAACTTTGTGCTGATGAAATGGTATTAGAAGCTGTTCAAGAAGCCACCTCAAATCGTACTATTGTTATTAAACACAATGCCACATAAAACGGGTATTGGTTATGGTCATTCGAAAACGGTAATTTAGTTATTTCATTCAAATCCATTACCAATACCAACGATGTTCAAACTTTCGATTTCATAAAATTTTTATAATTTATAACTTTATAAATAAATTATTTGATAATAATAGTTTTATCAATAATCTGTTAGAAAAATTATTAATCTCTTTTAGCATACTCATTGTTACAATTTCTTTATTATTATATTTTGGTGATGAAAGAAAAAAATATTATATAAAAATTAAAAAAAAAAAAAAAAAAAATAAAATAATTTAATTTTTATTAAATTTTCTAATTTAATAATAATAATTATAGTTTCCTTAAGAATTTTATTTTTTGTTTTAAAACATTTTGAATTTTTTAAGACCTTTTTTCCCGAGTTGAAATTATATAATGCATAGTATTTTATAATAAATTTTGAAAAGATGTGATTATTTCTTTGATGAAGTTTACTTTTATTTTAATTTCATCATTTTCAATAATTGAAACATTGAATGATACCATTTTATTAATAATTTAATGCTTTTTCTATATATAAACCAAATAAATAATTTTACTTTTTTATAAAAAATGCCAAATCTAATAAATAAAAAGAAAAAATTAAAATGGTAATATAATTTATTATAATAACTTTAATAGTAAGGAATCTTTTCATATAATTTAAAAACTGCTATTAAATAATTTTTTTTATTATAATAATCAACCACACACTTTTTAACCCACTGTTTAATTTTTTTAAAAAATTTTTTTTTAAAAAATTATAAATGCTGCGTGTTTTGTCAATGATTGTTTAGATTTCATTTCTTTTTGTGGTAGAGAATGAAGTTTTAATTTTTTTAATTTTTTTTTAATTTTCTTTTTTCTTTTTTAGTATTTCAATTATTTTTTTTTTTTTTATTTTTTTTTTAATATACATTTTTTTTTCAATTTACATTTTTTTTATTGTATTTATAAATGATTTTTTTTTTTCTTTATTATTTTAATCACATACAAATAATCATATACATACAAAAAAATCATATAATTTTATTTTTTTATAATAATAATCATTCAATAAATTATATCAATAATAATATTTATTTATTACCATTTAAAAATGAATCAATTAATGATTGTTTTTTATATATTATTGGCTATTATTTTTTCAGTTTATTTAATAAATAAATATTTTGCAATCAAAAACAATAACAATAGTAATAACAATAATAATTGCAATAATAATAGAAATATAACCAATACACAACATTATAACAAAATCAACTACAATTTAGCTGATCGAATTCATATTCACCAAAGCCCACAGCAATTTGATTCCGCTTGTTCCCCACCAGACCAATTTGACTCCACTTGTGCCCCACCACAGCAATTTGATTCCATTTGTGCCCCACCAGACCAATTTGACACCACTTGTGCCCCACCACAGCAATTAGATTCCACTTGTGCCCCACCACAGCAATTTGATTCCACTTGTGCCCCACCACAGCAATTAGATTCCATTTGTGCCCCACCACAGCAATTTGATTCCATTTGTGCCCCACCACAGCAATCTGATTCCACTTGTGCCCCATCACACCATCAATCAGAATCTCAATTTTTCAACTCAATTTCTTCTCAATTAATCAATACCCCAAATCCACCACTAATTCCATCCACTCCATCCACAATTGCATCAAAAACCTCTGTATCTGTCTATCCATTTGAATCTGAGTCAAGTAACAACTCTGCAGGTTCATCATTATCAAAAAGAAAAACATTTAGAAAGCCAGTATCAAGTACTATTTCTGCATGGGAACCAACATCAACTGGCAATCATCCAATGAAGAAGAGACCATTGGAACAAGATAATGAAATAAATAATGGTGATAGACAAATTTCCAAAAAACATAAACTCGAAGATGAAGAGAGTTTAAATATAGTTAAGCAAATTGTAGAAATGGAAATATTAAAAAAAGAAAGAGAAAGAGAAGAAAAAGAAAAAATGGAAAGACTTAAATTAATCGAAAGAATACAAAGAGAATATAGAGAAAGGGAAGAAATAGAAAGAAACCAAAGTTTAGAAATTGAAAGACAAATAAAAGAAGGATATGAAAGAAAAAGATTAGAAAGAATCCAATTAGAAAGAGAACAAATTGAACAATCAGAAAGATCAAGATTACAAAGAGTTCAAAAAGATAGAGAAAGAGCAGTAAAAATAAGAGAAAGAGAGGAAAGAGAAAGAGCAAGAGAAGAAAGACAAAGAGAAGAAAGAATAAGAGAAGAGAGAGAAAGACAAAGAGAAGAAAGAATCCAAAGGGATATAGAAGAAAGAGAACAATTACAAAGAGAACAATTACAAAGAGAACAATTAGAAAGAGATAATTTGGAAAGTGATCGTTCAGAAAGTGATGACAAATGCACAATTTGTCTTAACATTATAAACATAAATGAAATGGCTACAATTGATTGCCATCATAAATTTTGCTACGAATGCATTGTAAAATGGTCTGAACGTATTAATACCTGCCCAAATTGTAGAAACGAGTTTTATGACATTACAGTAAGTAATTTACACATTCTAATTTATACTTAATAAATATATATTAATTAATTTCATTAATAATTTATGCAGAAAGTAGCTAATGAAGAACGTTAAGGTAATGAAGAATCTTCATGAAGATTAAAATGAAGATGATCTTTTAGATATTGAACTCGAAGGCGATTAATTTGATAGTTTTGATAATTCATTCAATGTTTCTTTTTAAGAAATAGGTGAAGACCAAATTATTAATAAAATCGCTCCATTCAATGTTTCAATTTTTCAATCGATTAAATTATAGAAAGTCAACTTCATCATCCAAGAAACAAATCACATCTTTATCATCATGTGTATTAAGAAGTCATGTATCTCATTAGTTCAACTTTACAGAATAAAGTTCTAAATTTTCCAAGGTCATATATCAAAACAACTCTTAAGGTAACTATAATGTTAATATTAACATAATTATTTTTTATTTTTAAAAATAAAAAAAACTAATATTTTAATTTTTTTAAGTTAAGTTCCAACTTTTTCTTCAGTATCAACATATTGGGTTTTTGTTTACTCTTATTCAAAGTCAACACATTTCAAGTCGCAAACTATACAATAGGGTTCTTGCTTTTTTCTTTTTCGGTATCTGCTCATTTTAAGTCACAAATTATACAATAGGGTTCTTGCTTTTTTCTTTTCTGATATCTGCTCATTTTAAGTCACGATCAAACACTGGGGTTTTTCTTTTCTTTTTCGGCATCAGCATATTATAATTCACATATCAAATATTAAGGTTTCTGTTTATTCTTTCCTTTTCAAAGTCAACAAGTTTTAAGTCATAAATTAAACATTGGGGTTTTTTTCTTTTTTGGTATCAGCTCATTTTAAGTCACAATCAAACTGTGGGGGTTTTCTTGTTTCTTTTTTAGTATCAGCTCATTTTATGTCACAAATTAAACATTGGGGTTTTGTTTAATCTTTTTAATTATGGTTTTCAAATTGGTTTATTCAAACTCAAATTATCCATCTACTCTTGATATTAATTTATAAAATTCAAAAAAAATTTAAAAAATATTTTATTGTGTTAATTTTTAAATTTTTTTAAATTTTTTAAAAATTTTTTTTTTTTTTTTTTTTTTATAACAAAAAAATCAATAAATATTTTAAAGTATAAATAATAATGAATAAAAACTTGAACATTCATCAAACTAAAGGATGGGTTTGGGTGGAAATTTTTTAATAAATTTAGTCTGGTTCCATTACCAAAAGAGTTTCAATATATGTAATATCTTCTCCAAGATTAATTCAGATAAACATGGTAGAAAAAAATGTTATTTGTGTTCCAATTACCCACATCTTGTTACAAATTTATATTCTAATAATAAACCCCTCTAAAAATTGTGGAGAAATAAATTGTGTTACACTGGCAATAAACTTCAAATTATTTTGATATTTTATACTTACTAGGTAGCAGGTCAATAAAAAGGTTCATAGATTCGTGAAGAGTTGAATTCCATCGGTTATTACATCAATTTTCAATAATGTTGATTTTCCTGGTTTTGGTAAATATTGATTAGTTGATATCTTATCTACCTCTTGTCGTACTGGTTTTGATTGACAGAAGCATACTCACTTGACTTAGTGTTAACTGGGGTATCGGCAATTGGTTGAACTGGTTGTTCTATATGAGAATACATTGGAACATATTGTTTGTGCTTAAACGAATATAATTTCATTTCTGTAACGATTGGGTTTAACTTCGAACTGACTTTGTTGCGTTTGAATCCAAAACAATTTTTTATTTTCTTCTGAGCTTTGTATAAATGATTGATAAGAGCACGAAACAGGTTTGTTCTTCGCTGAAACTACCAAATCTATAAATTTATTTGATTCTTCTTTAATATATCTCATACATATAGATAAAACAATGTCATAATCATCTATTTCATTACACAAACCATCGATTAAAGTTCGAATATCCACTTTCTTTTGGTCAAGTATATTCATTGTTTCTTCATTTATTGATTCAAAAAGAGATTGAACCCTTGTTTTGTTAAAAGCCACAGCAAATTCGTGGATTTTTCTGGAAACCCAACCATTGTAATTAATATAACAACTACTTCTAATTCGTTTGTTAAGTATTGGCACCCATAAATTTTTTTCCATTAGGAGCTGACCATAAATCAATTATTAATGATACATTTGAGGTTAGGTGTGACAATTCTTTTATAATTAATAGTTTGTTTATTATATTTGAAAATTTTGTAAATATCACTTGCACAAGTGACGCTATTTAATGACTTTTTTAAAAAAATATTAACTGGTTAATAAAAAATTTAAAATTTTTATTTAATAATTGTATTTAACTATTACATACAGTTTTAGTAAGCAAATGTAAAAGCTTTTGATTTGAAAAAGCAAATAACAAATTATATCTCTATGAGAGTCGAGTATTTATTGATTCTGAACATTTGAAAGAATGTTTTTTTCTCTATATTTTTTGGCCGCCAAACATTTATCATCTATTAAAAATAATATATTAGAATATAGATTTTTTAATCAATAAATTAAATAATATTATGTAAACTTTACCATTTGTAAAATGATATCTAATGTTATAGGTCGAGAGAAAACCAGCACTTTTATGGCAATTCATCTTGCAAGTGTTACCATTAAATTTAAAACTTTCTTCCTGTTTTTAACATTATATTATTTTTATTTAATTTTTTTGATGGAAAAAGAAGACTTTCATGATCTCATTTTCTTGTTTGTAGTTTAGCAAACTGGCCATTCTTTTTGTTTCAGGAGAAGTTGAAAGCTTTTGGTCTATACTTTGACTTTCATGATCTCATTTTCTTGTTTGTAGTTAACAAACTGGTGAACAGGTTATTCCTTCTTTATGATTTCTATTTCTTTACTCTTGTAATTGTCTTAAAATCTGAAACTAATGGTCCAATAAAATCAATATTTAAAAATAAAATGAAAAATAAATTAATATATTTATATTATTATTTTGTAAATAAATAGGTATATGGTATCATTTAAATATGTGTATAAACTTACTTTTTTATTCATCAACTCTTAACTGATAGATAGGAAGTAATGCAAAACTTTTGTGTTATCATTACTTCCCAAAGAATCAAATGAAATGTGTGACAAATAAATTGAAAATGTTTTTTAATATAAAAAAAAAATAAAAAAAAAAATTTTTAATTTAAAAAAAAATTAAAAAAAAAAGAAAAATTTTGAATTTTTTTTTTTTTTTATTGTAATAAAAGCCAACCAAGTTTGCACAACTTACAAATAAAAAAACCACCAAATTTTTAACTTTTTTTCTTCATTAACAAGTGTGGGCAAATTTGAACTGCTTTTACAATATTAAATTAATTTTTTTTTTTTTATTTAATTTATCATCATTTCGATACAATAGTCTATTAAAAGAAGGTTTACTTGGAGACCCTTATTTTTGGTTCAAATTATTACCTTCCACTTAAAAGAAATGTACCATCATCAATACGCACAATAATACTTCGTTCATTTGACAATCCACTCAAAGAGTTTGACTTACCATTGGGCTTGTATACATTGATTCTAGGGCATTCTTTCAACCAACCGCTTAAGCCAGGTGACTTACCAAAGAGTCTTCATACAATTAAAAGTTACCAGTATAACACTCTTTTAGTTGCGGCTCACTTTCCATGGGTATAGAGCTATGTTTGGTATTCCTCAAACAGGTTTTATTTAAAGGCAATATCCCAGAGAGTGTGTAAAAGATATAACATTCGGATCGTACTATAGCTTACCGCTAAATTAACACTCTGTACCAACCAATTAAAGTGCTTTGACAACATCTCTAAAATCTTTAGATTTAGGTCCAATGTTTAAGTTTTCTAATAAAAATATAAAAAAATAAAAACATATATAAATTATTTATTTTCTTTTTAATATCAAATATTTTTTATTTTTATTTATTTAATTGTTTATTTATTCTGATTTTTGATTTTAAAGATTCTATGACTATGGTTTGAATAATTAAACTATTTGTGTATCACTGTTACTTGGGCCAAGGCAAATGTATTGAGATTCATATATATAGTTGATTAGATTGAATATCTTCATTAGTGTTTAGTATTTAGTTGGATCAAAGTTTAATCTTTTTTTTTTGCCAATGTTTTTTTCATACATGATAGCCCTACAGTATAGCTTTACTTCATGAATCTTCACCCATTTGTTCTGTAATTATTATTATTTAGATTGCTATATTCACTAATACTACTATTTAAATTATAGTTACTATTTTTTAAACTGAATGTTGTAGGTTCTGGTGCTGCTGTTGTTGTATTGTTATTACAATTACTATAACTATTTTTTAAACTGAATGCTAATGCTACTGTTGTTGTATAATTATTACTATTGTTTAAACTGAATGATGATGATGACGAAGCTGCTGTTGTGTTATTATATGGTTCTATGATATTTACTCGATATTTTAAAAGTAATTCTAATGATTTAATTGATGATATTGAAAAACTTTTTTTATTAATTGTGTAGTTTGGTAAAAATGTTGGTACATTCATTGATAGGAAATACTCCAATGCTTCTATATTATCTAAAGAGTATGCACATTCTACTAAATCAAACATGTGTAGCTGTTCTTTTTTCTTTTTGTATGGTAAGCTAATTAAATTTACATCTCTATTAGCTCTAAAAAAAGCTTTATATCTCTAGATTTTATTAATATATATTCATCTGCCTGTATTATAATTAATAATTTAAAGAGTTAAAGTAAACATATGTAATAACACTTTATAACAATAATCAATTTGTCTAAATGTTATTACTACCTACTTTTAATTTAATTTCTTATAAATTCCATAATTTTCTTTTGACCATAAAGTCTAATGATCTTATATGTTTAAATTTAATTCTATTAAAGTAGAATTGGTTTATTGTGATTGCAGCTGCGTTTGGGAATGTTGGGTATTGCAATTGGTCATGGGTTCTGATGAGTAGTTTTTGTATACTGGTGTTTGTTCTATCTTATAGATAAAAATAGTATTTGGTTAAAAATCTTATAAAAAAAATGAAAAATGAAAAAAAAAAAAAAAAAATTTAAATTTAAAATAATTTTTTTTAAAAAAAACAAATCCAAAGTAATTTTTAAAAATATATCTCATTTCCAAAAACCAATTAATTTTTAATATAGTTTTTTTATTTATTTCAAAAAAAAAATTTTCTCTTCAAGATATTTTTTTATTAATAAAAAAAACTACATACATATTCGTGATTTTAAAAAAAAAACAATAATAAAAATATAAAAATGTTTATTTAATAACCTTTTTATTAATCAACACCAGGTGTTTTTTTTTTATAAAAATTAATGTTAAATTTTATATTTTTTTCTATATTTAATTGTGCCATTTTATAATAAAATTTTTTTATAATAAAAATTAAAAAAGCAAAATTGATAAAATTCTAATTTTTTTATTTTTTTTTATTTTTTATTTAAGGTTTTTTTTTTATTTTTTTTTTTTTCAATTCAAAGTTAAAAAATCTATTTATTATAAATACCGAATAATTATATAAATGTCCTCTTTTTATTTATTCCTTATAAGTATTCTCCCTCGCTTATTCTATTAAATTTAAGCAGTATGAATGTATCCATAAATGGACAAAATATACTAATGCTTGTCATTGTGTAAAAAATGATTTTTGAAAAAGTAAGTAGTCGATACTTTGATATTTTATACACATATATAAATTAATTTATATCATTATTTAATAATAGAAAATGGTTGTATAGATTTAGAAATAAAAACAAAATTTATAGCTTTTAAAGTTACATTTTGCATCCACACAGCTTAAATATAATTTTTTATATTTAAAATTTTCTAGAATAAATATAAAAATTAAATTTAAGTTGTGAGGATGCAAAATGTAACTTTGAAAGCTATAATGTCCCTACTACTTGTTAAAGATTTTGAATAGAGACCATCTACATATTCGATTGAACAATCCGATCTTGAAATTGATAAAAAGAGTGATCGTACCATTATTGGGTTTTGTCTTAATAAAAAGTAACGATTTTCCAACAAACGAACAAGACTGCTATATATATATATTCTGTTACTATTCAAGTGAGATTGGTTTCTATGCAAACCCCTAAAAACCGTATAACTTTGTAATGTCTAAATACTTTTCAGAAGTTTACCAAAAACAAATTATCCACAAATAAATAAATCTAAAATTGCAATTTCTCAAATTTTTGAATATTAAAGCTAATGATCATTAGATACTGATAATAAAGATAAAGAAATATTAAATAAATAAAATATAGGAAATATTATAAAATAGAAAGGATATAATAGAAGAGTTACTAAAAGAAAGGACCTCAAATAAACACATAATTATCCCAATGTATTATTATTTATTTTTTGTAAATTTAAATTACCTCTTTTATATATATATAACAAATGATGATTAGAAAATGAAAAAAAATATTTTTTAAATAAACCCAATTTAATTGTTACTTTTTTAAAAAAAAAATACATAAGAAACAATAAAAACAATCAAATATCACCTTTGATTCAAATTAATTTGCCCAGCACCATAGAAAAGAGATGGTTTATGATTTAACATAAAAACCGGCTTTGGCGCAATGGTAGCGCGATTGACTGTAGTAATTATCTGTTATCAATCGGTTGCTAGTTCGAGTCTGGCAAGCCGGAATTTTTTTTATAGTACTTTTCTTCCTGGTGATTTTGTTGGGTTTGCACAAACACAAACAGTTGGCAAATCTGATGCTTACCCATCAACTTCATTCACAACAAACCATGTAGACTATGTAATGAAAATCTTAATAATGATCCATATGGTCATCTATTTTTCAAATGTAAAAAAACTCTGAAATTCATCAACTTCAATAAACTAAAATCATTTATATTCATTACTTCGGGAAGGGGCCTCAATTGGTCACTGGACATAACAAGATCAAGAAGGAATATATCAATAAAAAATATTACATACAAAATCCCAGAAGGTCGCAAATCCGATGGAGAAATAAATATGGATTACAACAACACCAGATTTCACAAATCACACTTCCAATGGAACTATAAAGCAATAGATTTCGACTTAACTAGATGTTTCGCTTATAGAAATGCCATAGCCCTGGTATTTCATCAAGTTTGGATTTGGTTATGTAAAGAATTATATGACGGTCAAGAAAATACAATAAAAGAACTCGATTATAAGAATCTAACCTCAAAATGGACTAAACTAGCTACTTTAGAATACTTAAAAGGTTTAAAAAACATCAAGGAAAGACAAGCTAAACAACCACAAACAATTAGCAACATCAATGAAGAATATAGAAAATTCAAAAGAAGAATAGCAAGAGCATACTTCATCAGCATCAAATCTTTACCAAATATCAACAGTTTAGAATATTTTCTTTAAAAACTTTATAAAAAAACATTAAATAAAATTTTACTGATTAATTTTAAGCATTTGCTTTTAATTATCTTCACTTTTAAAAAAAAAAAAAAAAAAAAAAAATCTGATGGCCAGATAAATATGAACTACAACACTAGATTTATTTTATTCTTTACTGATTAATTTAAAGCATTTGCTTTTAATTATTTTCACTTTTAGAAAAAAAAAAAAAAAAACTAGATTTCAAAAATCACACTTCGAATAGAACTATTGAATAAAATTTACTGAATAATTTAATGCAATTGCTTAAAACTTTTCTGATCTTTTTTTTAAAAGTTAAGATTTTTAAAGCCTAATTTATTGTATTTCACATTTATATTATAGTTGGACTCTTAAACTTAAGTGTTACTGGAGTTATTAATTACTTTTAATAATTAAAGTATCTTATTATTATTATTTGAAGAGTAGGTGATTGTTAGAAATACCTAATAATATTCTTAAATACTGTTTCATAAGTGGAGTTTAAAATCTCTAAATAATTTGTTTTATGATTAGTCTGATGATTTACAGCATTATTTAGCATGTTTCTATATTTCTAAATTTTTTTTTTTTTTTTTTACATTATTTAATTTTGTGAGTATGATTCTTAAAACTTTATTTTTAATTACATTTTAATATTCTATTTAAAAAAGATAAGGTTACTACCCATTTTTTTAATAAAAAAGAGATAGTAACTCATTTTTTTAATAATTTATTTTTTTTTAAATTTTATTTTTATAAAAATATTTTTTTTTTTTTTATTTTTATTAAAATTTTTTTTTTTTAATTTTTTTTTAATTTTTTTTTTAATTTCTCAAAATTTTTTAAATAATTATATATCTTATAATTTAATATTTATTTGTTTTTTTTTTTCTTAATTTTATTAAATAACTATAAATTAATTTTAAAAAAAACCAAAAATTGTATCATAATAAAAAAATAAATCAAAGATATTTTAAATAAATACCCAAACTTTCAAACAAATACTTTTACACATATATATATAAAATAAAATGGAAAGTATGTATAACTATAAACTAAAGCTATAAGAATATAAATAATAAAATAATAAAATAATAAAGTAGCAATAATATAGTGAAATAAAATAAAATTAAATAATTAAATAATTAAATAATTAAATAATTAAATAATTAAATAATATTTGAATATACTATTTTAAAACTATAAATTATAAATTTAATATTCATATTCATATTTTTAAACTTTTAGATCAACTTTTTCAATTAAAATTTACATCAAAACAATTAGAAAAGCAAAGTAAAAAATCAGAATCAAATGAAAAGACACAAAAGACTAAATTAAAGAAAGCAATTGAACAGGGTAATATGGATGGTGCAAGAATTTACGCACAAAATGCAATTCGTGAAAAGAATCAAGCTTTAAATTATCTTCGTTTAGCATCAAGAATCGATGCAGTAGCATCAAGAGTAGAGACAGCAATTAGAATGAAAGCAGTTACTGGTTCAATGGCAAATATTGTTAAATCGATGGAGAAATCAATGAGATCAATGGATTTAGAAAAAATTACACAAGTTATGGATCAATTCGAAAGACAATTTGAAGATTTAGATGTACAATCAGTTTATGTCGAAAATGCAATGAATCAAACCACCACTTTATCAACTCCTGCCGACCAAGTAGACCTTTTAATCTCTCAAGTTGCTGATGAACATGGCTTAAATGTTGGCATGCAAATGGGATCTGTTCCATCAGAAAAAGTACAACAAAACGAAACTGATGAATTAACTGAAAGATTAAATAGATTAAAACAAAAAAATTAATCTAAATTTTAAAATAAAAATATAATATAAACTAAAATTTTAGTTTTTTTTTTTTTTAATATTGTAAATAATAGGGTTTTTTTTTGTTATTAATTTTAAAATAAATGAGCTAATAGATATTTAGCTATTAGGTTTTTTTTTATTTTTTTATTTTCTAATAAATATTGGCTTTTAAATTTTTTATATAAATATTAATGATAGTATTTAGAATTTAAAAGTTTTTGTTGGAATTTTGCTTCTTCTTCTTAAACCATTACGAGTTGTGATAACAGTTGGGGTTGTTTTAGATTTTTTAGTTTTGGTAGTATCATTGTCACTATCGTCATCAGAAGATAAATCTGCAACTGAAATTGTTGGTAAAATTTTTCTTCTTGATGAAGTTGTTGTTGTCGCAGTTGAGGTTGAGGATGGCTGTATTGTGGTAGCTGATGTTTTTCTAGTTCTAGTTGGTCTTGTAGGTTTAATAGGTGAGTCATCAATTTCAATTGGATTGTGGATATCGTTTGTAGTGACAGCAATATTTCTTTTGGGTCTAGTTGTGACGGAAGAGGAGGTTGTTTTCTTTTCTTTTTCAGATTTTGATTTTGTAATCATATTGGCAATCTTCTTTGGAGTTTCTTTTAATATACCTAAAGTTTTCTTTGATTTGGTTACTGTTGGTGTTGAGGTGGGTACTGAAATATCGCTATCGATTGGGGCTCTTGTTGAAGTTGATACATGAGTTGGTGTAGGTGAAGATGGTCCCTCTTTGGGAAGAACTTCTACTGGTGATGAAAGTATTGATTTATTATTTGGTGATGATGATTTGTTTGGTTGTGAGGGTGTTGATAAATTTTTTGAATAATTTAAAGAATCTTTAGATGATTTTCTACTGCTGGATAGGTTTGTTGAATGTCTATTGCTACTGTTACTGATAGTTGAAGATTTTCTAACCATTTTCTTTTCAGTTTTGTCGTTATCATTGGCAGATAATATCATAGCGGCTGCAACAGTTTTATCTTTAATTCTCTTCAATGTTGAAATTGATTTGGTTTTCTTTGGTTTCTTGCTAATATAATCGTCGCTATCACCATTATCGTCACTATCTTTTACATTGATATCTAACCATTCGTTGTTTTCATCTTCGTCCATCATTGTTCCATTAAGACCACCACCGGTTATATTCAAGTAGTCGTTATCATCGATTTCTTTCATGAGTAAGCCATTGTCACCGTATTGATTTGGATCGAGTATTGGACGATCTGGAGTTTGAGAAGAAATAGAGTTTGGTGTGCCTGGGGCCAATTGAATAGGACTTCCTGGAATGACTTCAGTGTTTGTAAATCTGATTGAAACACCTTTACCAGAGAGGGATTTTTCAATATCTCCAGTATAAAGAGTCTTATGAGGCGAATTCAAGTTACCATTGGTGCCACTATTTTCATTTACCAAAGCAATTTTACCAAGCATTTTAGATTTAAGTGGAGTGGCGAATAGATTACTATTGGAACCTATCTTTAAGGCTTTGAATGGAGTGCTAGTACTTTGTTCTTTTAAGAGATTACGATGATGTAATTTCTGATTCTCTATTGATTGGTTTAATAATAAAAGGTTTTCACTCTCTTTAGCTTTCATTTTGTTTAGTTCATCTAATAAACTTTGTCTCTCTTTCTTTTCTTGATTAAGTTGTAATTGGAGTGCAGTGTTCTCTGAACGATATTTTAATTCTAATTTTTCAATATACATTTGATTATCAGATTCCAATCTGTCTCTATACATTTGATTTTCAGCCTCCATTGACTCTTTCATTTGCATATTTTCCAATTGACGTTGCTTAAACAACTCTTCACTCTTTGTTCTAATCGTTTCTAATTCTCTTAATAGGTCTTGTTTTTCATTTTCTAAATATTGATTCTTAGTTTTAAATTGATTTAATTCTTCGGATACTTTAATATTATTTTGCGTTTGATCATCCAATTCAACGATAGCCAAATTTAATTTACTTTGAATTTTATCACTTTGATTTTGTAAATCACTAATTTCCATTAACCATTCATCATCAGTACGTGTATTTGTTTGAATTGGCTGTTGTTCTTGATCTTGTATTTGTTTTTCTAAAATTTGTAATTTATTCTTTGTATTTAATACGTCAAATTCTAATTTTTTATTGATTTTAAATAATTTTTCTTTTTCATTATTATTGACACATTTGATAAGATTTAATTTATTTTGTAAACGAGTGTAGAGCAATTGGGTTTCTTTCTTTAAACGTTCGTTGTAATGTGATTCTAAATCGATAAATGATTGTACCATTTCATCACTAAATTGTTCACGTAATGACACTTCACTTTCAGCTAATTTAATTTCGTAATTTGACAACTTTTTTTGAAAAACTTGAATTTGATCCAATAATTGATCCTTTTCCATTGAAATATAATCCAAGTGAACATTCTTATTTAAATTATTATTTTTTAATATATTTGAATTGATTATTGATTCTAAATGAATTTTTTTTCTAATTTCATTAATGGAATTTTGTAATTGTGAAATTCCTAATGAATTATTCAAATTATTATTATTGGTATTTATATTATTGTTTTTATTATTTACTGCTGAGGATGTTATTATTGGATCAATTGATTTTCTTTTTTTAATAATTTGAGGTGTTGATGGTATCATTTTAATTTTTGATTGAGTTGTAATTTCTTTAGCATTGGCAGAGAAACGTAAAACATTTAAAGTTTCTTCAGAGTCACGCATAGTTGGACTAACATTAACAATCATAGCAGCTTTACCATTACCAACAAAATATTCTTGGCAAATTCTTGTTAAATCAGATTCTCTCCATGGAATTACATTCGAGTTGTTCTGTACATAAACTGATGATCTCTTTTTATTGGCACTATTTAATAGCTGTTGTTGTTGTAATGCTTGTTGCTTAAGACCCTCGATACACTTTCCCAAAATAAATAATGAGGTATTGATATTTGAAGCTTCTTTTAGACGATCACCAACAGCCTCGGTACGACTAGCACGTTCACTACCTGCCAAATCAATAATACATAATTTACTGCAACGTTTGGCTGGGTTTTCTTCTTTTGGAACATTACGTGGTTTAGCAGTTAACCTTAATACCAAAACTGCATGACTACGACTACTCTTGTTATTTAATTTAGTATTGCCTACTTTTCTGTTGGCTTCCCCAAGGGCAATGATATCTAAAGCAGCTTCGACACTATCTATCCTAATTCGTTGTAGATTTCTAATATTTACAGTTTTATCTTCACACTCGATTTTTAATGGAACTCTCTTATCGTTTGGATATAGCAACAAGTCATTGAGATTCTTTTTATGAATTTCATAATAACTCATTTCTATTGAATATTTGTATTGATCTGACATTTGGACTGGACTACATGAATTTGAGGTAGAATTTGTAGTGCCGGCTGCTGGAGTATTTAATAATGAATCTAATAGGTTTTGTTTACCAATAGCACTATTAATATCGGTTGTTATATTTTCTTCGTCGCTTGAACTATCACTATTAGTGAATTCTTCATTTTTACTACTAATATCTTCTGGTAGGACAGTGACTCTTGGATTCTTTTTTAGGCAATGGTCTGGAATACTATCAAAAATTACTTCTAATGATCTTCGAATAATACCTGGGTTCTTTTTACTACCTGATATAGTATAGGTTTTACCAGCATTTGTAACGCCGTATGCTAATAACAATATATTGTGACCATTTAAAAATGATTGAATTAATGGGTATGTAATTGTTCTATAAAAGAAAAAAAAACGATATTAGTATAAAATAAAATTTTTGAATGTATTTTTTGAATGTATACATACTTAAATAATTGTGATTGTGTAGTGGCGGGTGGTAGAACTGAAGAAAATGAAAATTTATTTGAATCAGAGTCTGATCTTGCAGATTTTATTGAAACTGTAGTTGGGTTTATTACTGTGAAACAATTTGATTCTTTTGATTTAACTTCCTCATTCGATAATGGACGTATACGTAAATAAACACTCATTGGAACTTTATCTTCTGGGATTTGCTGTATTAATGACATATTATTATCTAATAGTGAAAATGAGGGTAATGGTTTGCTGATAGTTCCTGATGGTGCTAAATGTTGTTTAATTGCACTCCCACTAACGGTATGATTTAAATTATTGGTTGATTTATATGGTGTTTTTGCTGGTGTATTATTCATTATTTTATTTACTTTCGAATTTATAATTAAACTGGAGTTTAAATTATTATTTTTTGTTGACGTTGTATCAAATAATTTTTTTTTAAATGGTGTATTTGCAGGTGATGTTTTACTGTTATTTATTTAAAAAATAATGTATATACATGTTAATAATAATAATAATAATAATAATAATAATAATAATAATGTTAATTTAAAGATTTTTTAAATCTAAAAATACAATGAAAAAAAACAAATAATAACTACCTTGATAAATCTGTTAATATCTTATTTGATGGTGATAATGGAGATGATTCATATTTATAATGTTTATCTTTCATTTTTATTTATTAATTTATTTTTATTTATTTATTTTTATTTATTTATTTATTTTTTAATTTTACACTTTTAATATTTATAATTATTTACAAAAAAAAAAAAAAAAAAGAAGAAACAATAGGATTTTATTGTTGCATAGTAGAAATTATGATAAAGAAATAAAAGAATAAAATAAATATATTATAAAATTATAAAATAAAAAAAAAAATTAAAAAAAAAAAATTTTGAAAAAAAAAATTAAAAAAGCGCCTATTTTACATTTTTTACAGTTAAAAATTTAAATTTTTTATGGGTTTATATTATTATAAAAAAAAATAAAAGTTTTTTTTTAGTTGTAAAACAAATAAAAAGATGCAAATAATAGTATTTAAATATCTACTGCCCAGCATTTGATTGAAATTCATACTTTAAAGGTTGCTTTAGGTATATTATATTGAGTTTATGAAAAACAAATAAAAATTAATTTTCTTTTTTATATATACGATTTTTTTTTTTTTTTTTTTTTTATTTTCACAAACCAACTCACACACACTTTAATTTTTTTATACCAAATAAAAAAATAATTAATTATAAAGTATCTGAAAAATATTTCTATAAAAAATAAAAAATATTTTTATTTTTATTTTTATTTTTATTTTTATTTTATTTTTATTTTTATTTAAATACTTATAGTTTAGAAAAAAAAAGAACCTTTAATTATATATTCAAACTTGGGTTGTCATTAAGCACAGCTATTGGAAAAAAAAGATTTGAAGATATGTTAATTGTATCAAAAGAAGTTTTTATAATAATCGAAAAAAGTCATAAGTAATTTGTTTAATTAAAAGAGAAATATTAAATATTATTTATAATTTGGGCAGTAACGTCAATTGTAATGAACAGGAATCATTACTTAATAATAATCAACAATTATTAAAATTTACCAAAAAAGAAATTTTAAAAAAATAAAAAAAATTAAAATATAAAAAAACTTTGTTGTTTTCAAATTTTATAAAATAATCAAATTCATTTTATTATTTTTTTTTTTTTTTAAAAAGTGAAATTATACTGTAATATTAATTTCAAAAATGCATATGAATACATTACAAAACATTATCTGCGGATAAATAAATCACCGAAAAGATAAAACCTTTAGAAAGGTATTGCAAGAGGCGAGATTCGAACTCGCGAACCGACAGGATGAGATCTTAAGTCACACGGATTTAACCAGGCTTTCCTACCCTTGCTTTCTTGAAACTATTTAAAATACGTTTTTGTCGGATGCTTCCTCACGTTAAAATTAAATTACTAAATAAATTAATAATTGATGGGGTAAGTAAATAATTCGTGGTTACTAATTAATACAAAAAAGGATGATTCCTCACGAATTTTTTAGATTGTTAAACTCCACCGTATAACAAATATATGTATAGTAGGTAAGAGAGGTTCAGTAAGATAAGAAACTCGAATATATTTCTGGTTCATAGTAGAAATACTGAAACAACGGATAATTACTTTACAAAAAAAAATTAATTACAAATAAAAAATAAAATAATCTAAATGAAATTCATTTGCTCAATCATCCAAAATTAAATAGTTATGAAAAATTATTTGATTTATACAAAAAATTTATTTAAATCTATAATTTTGAAAAAAAAAATACAATGTTTTTGGCAATATCTACTCTTGAAATGTTGGCCCATTCTCTTAACAAAACACATCGTTCTATTCTATCACCTGTTGTCTGTAATTAAAAACTTAGCATCAGAAAAGGTTCTTCTATTCCAACTGACAAAGAAGCAACTGAAAGTAAATTTCTTACAATTGAGTATAATGGTTATATAATACTTTTTTCTTTCCAATATATTATTATTTTATCATCTGCACTGTCCATAGGTTATCTGCTGTTAAAAAATATTATAATTAAAATAACATTAGGGTACAATTTATTCCACCCTATTCACCCGATTTGAATATAAAAGAAAACCATGGTCAATCTTAAAAAGATGTTTAATTCATTGTTTCAAACAATCAACAAATCAGTAATTGATAAATTATATAATTATTTGTTTATTCTGGTGGATTCACAAAGAATGTTCAGGTTGTTGAAAAATAAAACTGTACTAAAAAAATAATCGAAAATGAAAGAAAGTCTTTTATTTTTTCAGAGCAGCTATCTTGAAAAAGAGTGACTTTATCTAAATCAAGTTGATAGTCTTCTAATGCTTCTATATATACATATCCCATTTCATTTATGTAGGTCTCGCCATCCATGTTACTATTAATAAATGAACCACAACCAACCCCATGCGAATTAACACAACCCCAAAAATTTGTTCAAATTGGTCTCTTTCTTTTTTAAAATGTTTTCTTCCCTCCCTTGATTAACTTCCTCGAAACCATCTTTTATGCCTCCATTTGTGCAATTTTGAATTCATATGCTAAAATCACCTGTTTCCAATCTTCTGTGGATTATAATTTTTAAATTTACCTTTGCATCTTAGTTTGTAAAATAATTTTAATTGATGTGGTTGTTTTATTCACTAAAACTATTGGTGTATTCATTATGCATGTCAATATCCACCTTCAGGTGGATTTGCTAATCAAATTGCCTCGGGTTCTCAAGGTCAAAAGGTGACGCTCGATTATAATAGAATTACACTTGAATATAAATCAGTATTGGTAAACGATTATCTATTTTTATTTATCAGTGCATTTAATTATTAAAATATTATTATTGGTTATATTTGTTAAATACCAGTATTAATTATTAAAATTAAAAAAAAATATTAAAAAATTTGAAAAAAAAAAATTAAAAAAAAAATTAAAAAATTCACAATTAAAATTTTTTTTATAAAAACAATATTTTCACATAAATGATTACTTGTGCGAAAAATAATTGTTTATGGTGCAAAAATAAATTTTATTCAAAAAAATATAAAAAAGTTTTTTCAAGCTACCAATAATAAAATAAAACTTAAATATTAAAATTCACACATTATTATTTCAAACACACCGTTTTTATAAATATGGCTCATATAATAAAAAAACATGTTGCCTCTTTGATTTTTATAAATATTAAAATTCAGACATTATTATTTCAACCACACCGTTTTTATAAATATAGTTCATATAATAAAAAAAAAAAAGTAAAAAAAAAACATAATGCCTCTTTGATTTTTATATAAATCTAAAAAAAATAATTTTTTAAAAAAAAAAAACTAATTTATTATTTTAAAAAAAAAAATAAAAAATTTTGTGTTTGTGTATTTTTTATAAAAAATCTTTGATTTTACTCGTTTGCTCTTTATTTCACAAAAAAAATTACGAATGTTTTTTTTTTTTTTTCATTTTAATTTTTAACAAGATTTTTAATTTTATATAAAACCCAGTACGAAACATAAAAAATAAAAAAAAAATGCAGTATAAATAATTTTTTTTTATTAATCCAAAAATAAATAAAAAATCAAACAAATAATGCAACTAATAAATATTAATTTTGTTTTAATAATATTTATTTTAGTTTTTCTTTATAGTAATAATTTTGTTGTATCTCAAGCTTTAGCTCCAAGATGTAAAACCACTAAAAATGTGTATCAAGGAGATGCAAAAAGTAAATATAATGGTATGACCCCCACAATGGATGTGGATTGGTGGTTTTTACAGCAACTTTCACGTAATGATGGTGGTGCTATTTACACAGACAGCGATTTATCTGGTGAAAAAATCATATCCGAAATCAACAGTTATTACACAAAAAATAATAATGGAATTCCAAATCCAGTAACAGTAACATACGAACAAATACTGGATCCTAATAATAATTACAATAGTATTGCATATAATAATGAACCAAGACATAAAGTAAATAATGATCATACAACTCGTGTTGATCCAGGTGAAGGTGCCCATGCCAAAGGTTTTTTTATTTGGAATAAACATGGTAAACATAGTCAATTTATATATTATAATATATAAATAATATTTAAAATATTAATTATTAATTTTTTATTAATCATTATAGGAGGTATTCATGTTATTCATAGTTATCCTCAATCACCTTTACATGATACCGCTGGTGAGTTTTTTGAAAAAAAAATGAAAAACAACTTAGGTCAACATTCAGTTTGTATCAACTTATTACCAGATGAATTAGATATTATTCCAAAACTTTTAATTTATGGTGATTTTATTATCAATTCAATTAATGGTAAAAACATTAGGGGAAAAACAAATAAGCTATCAAGTCTATCCGAGTTTTCAGATATTGAAACTATAGTTGGTAATTTAATCGATATCACCGAATTTACAGCAGCTCAAATCACTTCATTGGAAGCCATTAAGAAAACATTTGATAAATTTGATAAAGAAGTTTTCGATACACTTTTATTTGATCCAAATACAAAACATTGGTCAAATGATAAAATCGAATTATCAAAATGGTCCACAGTCGTAAGTTTTAATTTATATAAATAAAATATTATTTAATAATACTTGTTTAAATTAAAATACTAATTTTTAATTTTATTATAAATATTAATAGGCAAGTCTAATCAGTAACAAAGATTTTTCATCATTTGATTCCACAACAAAGGATGATAGAGACTGTATACATTACAATAAGGTAATGGATCAATCCAATGGTGATGGCCAATACTTTGTTCAAACCTCAAACAAAAACATTCATGATAATAGAAATTTATATACATTAACCAAAAGAGGATTTAATATGATATGGGATTATATTGCAGATTACTATTCCACCAAACATGGAAAAACAGGTAAATGGCTTATTAATACAATGCAGAAGGGTGGTAGTGAAGGTGATGATAAGATGGCAATGCCATCAGATCTAATGAAAATTGTCGTTAGAACTGATGCACCATGGTCCAAAAGTAAATATACAACAGATGGTTCTCAACATTCAAAGATATCATATTTAGTCGATGACACTGGGAATCTATTTTGTAAGTGTTTTTTAATTTATAAACCAACCGAGTTAATAATAAAAAATGTACTAATTAATTTAAAATTCATATTAAAAGGTATTGGTGATCTTAATTGGCAAGGTAAACAGGTAAGTCGTTCACTAACAATAATTGAAGGCAAATTAAATTTAAACACTTATTTATTTATTATTAAATATAATATTTTATCTATTAGGAATCGAGAGGTGGTAGTGCATTTTGTTCAAAAAAATTAGATTATTTAGCCGAATACTATGAAAGACGTGTTACTGTTATTGCAAAACCTCCAGTAAACACAAATTATAATATGTTTGGATACGGAGTTGAACCATTTGGCACAGCAGGTTTTCAACTAGATTTCACATCTATTTATAACAGTTTGGAAAACAATGGATTTTATAAAGCTGCAGAAAGACCATTAATGGAAATTAAAAAATTAAATCAAAACAATGAATATGAATCATTCAATCCTAAAGTATTAATAGATATCGAACCTGAAAAACCATCTGTAGATTATGATATATATGGCTCTTTTACAGATAATTATAACACACCCATCAATGCTTTCAATAGTTTATTAAAAGAAATCTATATTCCATTGGAACTTAAAAGGTTACAAACAACCCCTCCAACCTTCGAAACTGATCAAAAAATCGGTCTATTTGTATCTCCAACACTCAAAGATGAAATTATTTTTTGTCCAAATGATTACTATCAAAATCAATGCGATTATAATCATGAAAACCATTTATTAATAAAAGATTTAGCTATTGAATTCAAAATGAAAGATTATAATAGTGGAGCTAGACCTAAAAGAATCGATTCGATTTTCGGACCCACTATCACTTACCCAACACCCATCATTGTAGATGAAACAATTGCACTTGTCAAATTAGAAAAAGACATTAAAACAATATACGATTATTTTGGAATTGTAAGACAAACACCAATTAGATTTATAAAAATCGATGCAAACGACAAAGGGATTCAAGCTGATTTAATTAAAGATAGCTCAGAATGTGGAACTGGTGATCATGATATTGTATTCTATGATGAAAACTGCTACGATTTCTTAGTGTACTGCCTCTCTGAAAATTTTGCTACTAAGAACAAAGGCGCATATAATAACAATATAAATTACTTTTATCAAGAAGAAGATGGTTTTTCTGCCCCAACTGATGCCATAATGGTAAGTAATAAATATAGAATAATAGTAATTATAAAATAAAATTTTATTATATTTTACTAATTTTTTTTTTTTCTTCTTTTCTTTTATTAAACATAGAATGCTATCCAATGGCCCAATGGAAATCCAAAAACATGTTTTATTCCTGATGACTCAGATATGAATGATCAATCACAAACTATGAACGATAATGATTAAAAAAAAATTTATAAATAAATAATTATAATTTCAATTAAATTTAAAAAATAAAATATTAAAATAAAAATTTTATCTTTGTATTTATTTTTGCATCATAAACATAGTTAAATAAATTATATTAAAATAAAATAAAGAGAGGTATTTAAAAAGAAACAAAATTGCAATCAAATTATTATATTAATTATAGGGATTATAATTTTATCGCATTTTGATAAAAAAATATATTTTTACCCACACTCCCACCCACTGGACTTATTTTTTTTATTTTAAAACTGTGTAACTAAAAAAAAAAAAGAAAAAATAAAGAAAAAAATTGAAGTAATTCATATAATTAATTTAAAATTTTTAGTGTACATTAATTTTATTTGTAATTTAATCATTCATTTTTGAATTTTTATAATAATCATAAAATACAGAGTTTTTAGCAAAATCTACTCTTGAAATGTTGGCCCATTCTCTTAACAAAACACATCGTTCTATTCTATCCCACCCCAATTTTGATCTATTGTCTGTAATTAAAAAACTTGGCATCAGAAACGGTTCTTTCTATTTCAACTGACAAAGAAGCGACTAAAACTAAATTTCTACAATTGAGTACAATGGGGGTAATATAATACTTTTTTCTTTCCAAATATTATTATTTTATGATTTCTTGGATCTAAACTTTCTCCGAGATATCATATATTTATTCCTTCATATTCTATTATTTTTTAGTACAGTTATATTTTTCAGCAACCTGACCATTCTCTGTGTTTTAGATTGATAGCCATTGGTCTATGTCTTCCATTAAATTCGTTGTGGTAATAGGTCTTTTATTTTTTCAGAGCAGTTATCTTGAAAAAGAGTGACTTTATCTAAATCAAGTTGATAGTCTTCTAATGTTTTCATATATACATCTCCCATTTCATTTATGTAGGTTCCGCCATCCATGTTACTATTAATAAATGAACCACAACCAACCCCATGCGAATTAACACAACCCCCCAAAAAATTTTTGAAATTTCAGATGGTCTCTTTCTTTTTAAAATGTTTTCTTCCCTCCCTTGATTAACTTCCTTGAATCCATCTTTTATGCCTCCAATTGTGCAATTTTGAATTCATATGCTAAAATCACCTGTTTTCAATCTTCTGTGGATTTTAATTTTTAAATTTTTTTACTTTTGCATCTTAGCTTATAAAATAATTTTAATTTATGTGGTTGTTTTATTCACTAAAACTATTGGTGTATTTATTTTATGGTAAACGATTATCTATTTTTATTTATCGGTGCATTTAATTATTAAAATATTATTATTGGTTTATATTTGTAAAATAATTAAAATTAAAAAAAAATATTAAAAAATTTGAAAAAAAATATTAAAAAATTTGAAAAAAAATTAAAAAAAAAAAATAAAAAAATTCACATTAAAACAATAATTTTTATAATGCAAAAATAAAATTCAAAAAATATAAAAAAAGATATTTCAAACTACCAATAATAAAAATAGCAACTAAAATATTAAAAAAAAAAAATCACACATTATTATCAAGGGGGTGATTGAAATAATGCTCATAATAATCAAGGGGGTGTCTCGGCAAAAAAAAATTAAGAAATGAAATATATATAAAAAAAAGTAATGCACATAAAAAAAAAATTTCATTTTTTAATTTTTTTTTGCCAAGACACCCCTTGATTATTATGAGCATTATTTCAATCACACCGTTTTTATAAATATAGCTCATATAATAAAAAAACATGATGCCTCTTTGATTTTTATATAAATCTAAAAAAATAGTTTTTTAAAAAATTTTATGTTTATAAAAATGAAAAAAAAAAAAAACGCTCGTAATTTTTTTTTGTGTGACATAAAGTAAACGAGCAAAATCAACGATTTTTTATAAAAAAGAAAAATACATAAACACAAAATTTTTTAACAAAATTTTTAATTTTATATAAAACCCAGTGCAAAACAAAACAATAAAAAAAAAAAAATGCATTATAAATAATTTTTTTTTATTAATCCAAAAATAAATAAAAAATCAAACAAATAATGCAACTAATAAATATTAATTTTGTTTTAATAATATTTATTTTAGTTTTTGTTTATAGTAATAATTTTGTTGTATCTCAAGCTTTAGCTCCAAGATGTAAAACCACAGAGAATGTGTATCAAGGAGATGCAAGAAGTAAATATAATGGTATGACCCCCACCATGGATGTGGATTGGTGGTTTTTACAGCAACTTTCACGTAATGATGGTGGTGCTATTTACACAGACAGCGATTTATCTGGTGAAAAAATCATATCCGAAATCAACAGTTATTACACAAAAAATAAAAATGGAATTCCAAATCCAGTAACAGAAACATACGAACAAATACTGGCTCCTAATAATAATTACAATAGTATTGCATATAATAATGAACCAAGACACAAAGTAAAAAAAGTTAAAGGTGTAGTAGTTTCTATTGATCCTACAACTCGTGCTGATCCAGGTGAGGGTGCTCATGCCAAAGGTTACTTTATTTGGAATAAACATGGTAAACATAGTCAATTTATAAATAATTTTTAAATTATAAATTATTAATTTTTTATTAATCATTATAGGAGGTATTCATGTTATTCATAGTTATCCTCAATCACCTGTAAATGATACCGCTGGTGCATTTTTTGAAAAAGGAATGGAAAGGAACTTGGGTCAACATTCAGTTTGTATCAACTTAAAACCAGATGAATTAGATATTATTCCAAAACTTTTAATTTATGGTGATTTTATTATCAATTCAATTAATGGTAAAAACATTAGAAATATAACAAATAAGCTATCAAGTCTATCCGAGTTTTCAGAAATTAATCAAAGAGTTGGTAATTTAATCGATATCACCGAATTTACAGCAGCTCAAATCACTTCATTAGAAGCCATAAAGAAAACATTTGATAAATTTGATAAAGAAGTTTTCGATACACTTTTATTTGATCCAAGTACAAAGCATTGGTCAAAAGATAAAATCGAATTATCAAAATGGTCTACAGTCGTAAGTTTTAATTTACATAAATAAAATATTATTTAATAATACTTGTTTAAATTAAAATACTAATTTTAATTTTATTATAAATATTAATAGGCAAGTCTAATCAGTAACAATGATTTTTCATCATATGATTTCATAGCAGTGAATGTTAGTGACTGTATACATTACAATAAGGTAATGGATCAATCCAATGGTGATGGCCAATACTTTGTTCAAACCTCAAACAAAAACATTCATGATGCTATAAATAAAACAGATTCATATCCATTAACAAAAAGAGGATTTAATATGATATGGGATTATATTGCAAATTACTATTCCACCAAACATGGAAAAACAGGTAAATGGCTTATTAATACAATGCAGAAGGGTGGTGTATCAGGTAATGATAAGATGGCAAATCAAACAGATTTAATGAACCTTGTCGTTAGAACTGATGCACCATGGTCCAAAAGTAAATCTACAACAGATGGTTCTCAACATTCAAAGATATCATATTTAGTCGATAACACTGGTAATATATTTTGTAAGTATTTTTTAATTATATTTAAACCAACCGAGTTAATTAAAAATGTACTAACTTATTTAAAATTTATATTTAAAGGTATTGGTGATCTTAATTGGCAAGGTAAACAGGTAAGTTGTTGATTAACATTAATTAAAAGCAAATTAAATTATTATTATTATTATATTTATTATTGATATTATATTTTATCTATTAGGAATCGAGAGGTGGTAGTGCATTTTGTTCAAAAAAATTAGATTATTTAGCCGAATACTATGAAAGACGTGTTACTGTTATTGCAAAACCTCCAGTAACCACAAATTATGATATGTTTGGATTCGGAGTTGAACCATTTGGCACAGCAGGTTTTCAACTAGATTTCACATCTATTTATAACAGTTTGGAAAACAATGGATTTTATAAAGCTGCAGCAAGACCATTAATGGAAATTAAAAAATTAAATCAAAATAATGAATATGAATCATTCAATCCTAAAGTATTAATAGATATCGAACCTGAAAAACCATCTGTAGATTATTATATTAATGGTTCTTTTACATATAATAATAATACACCCATCAAGGCTTTCAATAGTTTGTTAAATGAAATCTATATTCCATTGAAACTAAAAAGCTTACAAACAACCCCTCCAACCTTCGAAACTGATCAAAAAATCGGTCTATTTGTATCTCCAACACTCAAAGATGAAATTATTTTTTGTCCAAATGATTACAATCAAAATCAATGCAATTATAATCACGAAAACCATTTATTAATAAAAGATTTAGCTTTTAAATTTAAAATGGATTATTATAATAGTGGAGCTAGACCTAAAAGAATCGAATCGATTTTCAAACCCAATATCACTTACCCAGCTCTCATCATTGTCAATGAAACAATTGCACTTGTCAAATTAGAAAAAGACATTAAAATAATATACGATTATTTTGGAATTGTAAGACAAACACCAATTAGATTCATAAAAATTGATGCAAACAACAAAGATAAGCAAGCTGATTTAATTAAAAATAGCACAAAATGTGGAACTGGTGATGATAATATTGTATTCTATGATGAAAACTGCTACGATTTCTTAGTGTACTGCCTCTCTGAAAAATTTGCTACAAAGAACAAAGGCACATATAATAACAATATAGATGGTTTTTCTGCCCCAACTGATGCCATAATGGTAAGTAATAAATATAGAATAATAATAATTAAAAATAAAAAATTTATTATATTTTACTTATTTTTTTTTTTTTCTTCTTTTCTTTTATTAAACATAGAATGCTATCCAATGGCCCAATGGAAATCCTAAAACATGCTTTATTCCTGATGACTCAAATATGAATGATCAATCACAAACTATGCCTAAGAATGATGATGATTAAAAAAAAATTATAAATAAATAATTATAATTTCAATTAAATTAAAATAAAACATTAAAATAAAAATTTTTTCTTTTGAATTTATTTTTACATAAAAAATTAAAATAGCAGAACAAAGAAAATAAATTTAATTGTTTTTAAATACTTTAATATACCAAAGTGTGATGTTATCATGATGCCATAATATATGTTGAAATTTAAATTATATAAAAAATAAAATTTTAAAAATACAAAATAAAATATTTTTTTTTAAAAACAAAACACCAAATGAATTAAAATAATTAAAATAACGAAACAATGCAACAAATAAATATTATTTAAATTTTAATAGGTGTTTTTACAACAACTTTCAGGTAAATATGGTGGTGCCATTTACACAAACAGCAAATTATCAAAAACCAAGACTATATCCGAAATCAACAACTATTATACAAAAAATAATAATAGAACTCCAAATCCAGTAACAGTAACATATGAACAAATACTTCATCCTAATAATTACAATAGTATTGCATAATAATGAACCAAGACATATAGTAAATAATGATCCTACAACTGGCGGTGATCCAGGGGAAGGTGCTCATGCCAAAGGTTACTTTATTTGGAATAAAGATGGTATATATCATTTTTTTTACAATACCAATCATATTTTATTAATAAATAAAAATTATAATACAACTACTAAATATTATTTATAATGCTGGTGAATTTTTTGTAAAAAATAAAAATAATAAAATATTTGTAAAATAATTAAAATTTAAAAAAAAAAATAAAAAAATTCGCAATTAAAATACCAGCACCACTTAGCATTATCCGTGAAACAATTGCACTTGTCAAATTAGTAAAGTTTAAAATTTATTATATTTTTTTCATTAAAATTTATTATATTTTTCTTCTTTTATTAAACATAGAATGCTATTCAATGGCCTAATGGAAATCCTAATACATGTTTTATTCTTGATGACTCAGATATGAATGATCAATCACAAACTATGTCTAAGAACGATGATGATTAAAAAAAAAAATTTATTAATAAATAATTATATTTTCAATTAAATTAAAATAAAATATTAAAATAAAAATTTTATCTTTTGTATTTATTTCTGTTAATTGAAATATAAAATATAAAATATTAAAAAAAATAAATAATTTATTTATACAATTGCAGTTTATTGTTTTAGTTTGTTTTAAAAAAAGTTTCTTAAAAATAGAAACAGAGAACCAATATTTTTTTTTTTTTTTTTTTAAAAAATGAAAATTTTCTTTTTTTTTTATAAAAGATTTTTTTTTTTACGCTTAAAAAAAACGCAATACCTTGCATATTTTTCGTATATATTTGGGCATCTCTCCATTTTTTTAGAGTTTTTTGTACAATGCTTTTTTCAATCTCAATAATGTTTGATTCGCTCGTTCACGAAAAATATGTCTGTTTTTTAAAGGATATAATTCTTTGAATCAAATATGATTTTTATATTTCAAAAAATTAAAGCATTTGCTATGTAAAAAAAAAAAAAAAAAATTAAATTTTTTATTTTTTTTTAATTATTTTTTATGAAACAATGCAACAAATAAATATTAATTATATTTTAATAATAGTAATACTTTTATTTGTTAATGGTAATAATTTTGTAGTATCTCTAGCACCAAGATGTAAAACTACTAAAAATGTTTATCAAGGTGAAGCAATTAGTAAATATAGTGGTGGAAAGGCCAATATCACGGATGTGGAATGGTGGTTTTTACAACAACTTTCAGATACAGATGGTGGTGCTATTTACACAGACAGCAATTTATCAGACACTAATACTATATCTGAAATCAACAATTATTATACCAAAAATAATGATGGAATTCCAAATCCAGTAACAGTAACATACGAACAAATACTGGATCCTAAAAATGATTACTATAGTATTGTATATAATAATGAACCACCACATAAAATAAAAAATGATCCTACAACTGGCAGTGACCATCAAGGTGCTCATGCAAAAGGTTTCTTTATTTGGAACATCGAGGGTAAATATCATTTTTTTTGCTATACAAATCATCTTTTATAATAATATACTAATTTTATTTATTCAACAAAACAGGAGGTATTCATGTTATTCATAGTTATCCTAAATCACCTGTAAAATATACTCCAGGTGAATTTTTTGAAAAAGGAATGAAAAACAACTTAGGTCAACATTCAGTTTGTATCAACTTATTACCAGATGAATTAGATATTATTCCAAAACTTTTAATTTATGGTGATTTTGATATTAATGCAATTAATGGTGAAAACATTAGAGATATAACAAATAAGCTATCGAGTCTATCCGAGTTTTCAGAAATTAATCAAAGAGTTGGTAATTTAATCAATATCACCAAATTTACAGCAGCTCAAATCACTTCATTAAAAGCCATAAACAAAACATTTGATAAATTTGATGAAGAAGTTTTCGATAAACTTTTATTTGATCCAAATACAAAACATTGGTCAAAAGATAAAATCGAATTATCAAAATGGTCCACAGTCGTAAGTTTTAATTTATATAAATAAAATATTATTTAATAATACTTGTTTAAATTAAATTACTAATTTTTAATTTTATTATAAATATTAATAGGCAAAACTAATCAGTAACAATGATTTTTCATCATATAATTTCACAGAAGCGGAGAAAGAAAATGGTGTTAAAGACTGTATACATTACAATAAGGTAATGGATCAATCCAATCGTGATGGCCAATACTTTGTTCAAACCACAAACAAACACATTCATAAAAACAGAAAAACATATCCATTAACAAAAAGAGGATTTAACATGATATGGGATTATATTGCAAATTACTATTCCAAACATGGAAAAACAGGTAAATGGCTTATTAATACAATGCAGAGGGGTGGTGCAGCAGGTAATGATAAGATGGCAATGCCATCAGATCTAATGAATCTTGTCGTTAGAACTGATGCACCATGGTCCGAAAGTAAATCTACAACAGATGGTTCTCAACATTCAAAGATATCATATTTAGTCGATGACACTGGTAATCTATTTTGTAAGTATTTTTAATTGTATCTAAACTAAGTCAACCATTAATTAATATAACTATTCAAATTTTATATTTAAAGGTATTGGTGATCTTAATTGGCAAGGTGCGCAAGTAAGTTATTCATAATCTTTTATTTTTTTTAAAAAATATTCAACAATTAGTTTTATTTAATTAATTTGCTTTATTAATTTAAATTTAGGAAACAAGAGGTGGTAGTGCATTTTGTTCAAAAAAATTAGATTATTTAGCCGAATACTATGAAAGACGTGTTGGTTTTATTGCAGACCCTCCAGTAAATAAAAATTATGATAAATTTGGTGGTGAGGTTTTACCATTCTCTTCATTCGGTTTCAAAATAGATTTTTCAAATATTACTAATGATTTACAAACTAATGGAATTGATACAACAAAAAGAATACCATTAATGGAATTTAAACTTTTTAAAGTTCAACAAAATACATATAAATCTTTCAATCCCAGAATATTTATAGATACAGAGACAACAAAACCATCAATAATATATGATAAAACTGGCAGTTTTTCTTATAATGGTTCCAATCACATCAAAGGTTTCAATAGTGAAATAAAAGAAATCTATATTCCATTGAAACTAGTGAATGTATCAAAATTTACTTATGAAACAGCCGAATCCTTTTCTTTATTTATATCGCCCAGTATCAAGAATGAGATTATTCTTTGTGATGAAAAAAACATTAATTGTGACTATGATTTTATGGAACAATTGTTTGTATATGATTTAAAAATCACATTTGAAATGGAGGATTTCAAAATTTTAAAAAATCCCGATATTGGCAAACTTAAAAAGGAAAAAGTAGCTCTTATTCTCAAATCAAATCAAAAAATTGATTTCAAAATATTAAATGATGAAAATACTGCTAGAACCATCAAACAAACTAAATTAGTAAATGATATTAAATCAATATACAAATATTTTGAAATTAAAAGAGAAACACCAATAAGATTTATAAAATCTGATAAACTAATCAAAAAAAATGATCAAATTGAATTAATTGGAAATAGCACAAAATGTAAAGCAGATGATAATAGTGTATACTATGACGAAAACTGCTACGATTTCTTAGTTTACTGTCTCTCTGCAAATTATGCTTCTGAAAAAACCAAAGGCGCATATAATAACAATATAGGCGACTTTGATAAATTTACAAATCCAATAATGGTAAGTTTAATTTTTTCTTTATAAAATATAATAAATATTTTATTAATCCAAAGTTTATTTTTCCAATTATAGAATGCTATAAGTTGGACAGAAACACCAAAAAGATGTTTAATACAAAACAACAATGAAGGAATAGATAACGAAAGTCAGTCACAAAAACCAACCATTATTATAAACCCAAAAAAAATTCATAAAAATGCTATTACTATTAACTAAATTAAATTTAAAAAAAATTTCGTTTTTTTTTAAAAAAATATCCAAGTTTTTTTTTTTTAAAAAAAATTCGCAACACCAAGTATTTTATTTTTTTTTTTTTTTAAAACTTTTGCACTAAGTTGCTCGTTCGTTTTCGTAATGTATCTATTTTTTTGTTTTTTTTACACAGCCTTTTGAAAGTTTTGTTCATCGAATTTGTAACTTTTTTTTTTATCTTTTGCATATTCGTAACTGTCTTTTAGTTTTTCAAAATGCAACTTGGTTAATAGTTAAATAAATCTTTTTTTATTTTATATTTTTTTTAATCTTTATTTTTTTTTTTTTTTAATCAAAAAAATATTTTATAATTTTTTTATTATTATTATATTTTATAATAAAAAATGAAAAAAAATAAAATAATATTTTTATTTTTACTAATATTTAGTTTTATATTTACGGTTGAATCAGCATCAACATTTGACTTAACATCATGGTCAACAAATGGTACTTTATCAACATGTATATATTATAACTTTGCTAAAAATGAATATTACGATTTAAATCCGTTATCGAAGGAAGAGGGATACCAATACAAAACTTTCAATCCTACCACTGGTGTATGGGCAACAGAGTTTAATTTTAATTTTTGTAAAAGATCTCCAAAATGTACAATGAAAAACGAACTTGCATGCTTCCAAGATGCAACAAACGGTTTAAGTTATTCAACTTTAGCAGATTTAAATAAAGTTCACACAGTCACATTCTTTGACAATTACTTCAAAATTAAATATGAATCAAGTGTTTGTGGTTCCAATGGATTTGTTTATCAATTCGAATGTGACCAATTAGGTGATTACACGTATGATCCCACAAGTAGTCCTAATAAATGCACTCATATTATCAAATCAAAGCATGCTTGTAAAAAAAAAGGTGTATTATTTAATAATGGTGTTTTATACGATTTAAGAGTTTTGTAAGTAGCAATAGTTTTTTATTCATTTAAATTTATATAACTATGAAAATACTAATATTGTTTTAAAACTTTAACGAATACAGAGCATCCACAAGTTTATTTCAAAGTACTGACTATAGTAAAGATGTTTTGTTTAATTTATTCGATAATGCAGACAGATGCACATCATTAAGCGGGGTTACTTCAAATAAATATCAAGCTTGTCTCTTAACTGTTAAAGATAAAACAAAAACAATGGATAATAATTTAAGATACGATTTAAATAAAGGTGTTTTAAATGCTGGTTCAGTTACAGAGGATAAAACCATCACATTTGATACAGTTAATCAAATTATTACTATTAAAATCTCATCTCCACAATCTTATTCAACTCAATGCACTGCCTCTAATAGTCGTTTTTATACATCATTTAATCTCTATTGTGATCCATTCAAACATTACTTTATTGATCAATTAGAAACTTCAAATACTCCCAACTGTTATAATAATATCAATATTTATACTAAATATGCTTGCCCAACTTCATATTTCTTTGATAAATCTCAGTTTTACGATTTATCACCAATTCAATTGTAAGTTTTAAAAAATTAAACATTATAAAATATTTGGTTATTAATATTATTATTTATTATTTATTCTACAGACCTCAAACAAGTTTCTATAACATTAAACATGTTACAGATTCATATACATATAATATTTTATTTAATATTGGTAATAAAGTAAAACAGTGTCATGATTTAATGGGTATTAGCACAGGTATTCATTATGCATGTCAATATCCACCTTCAGGTGGATTTGCTAATCAAATTGCCTCGGCTTCTCAAGGTCAAAAGGTGACTCTCGATTATAATAGAATTACACTTGAATATAAATCAGCACCCATCGTTGGTGAATGTCTTAGAAAATTATCAATAGTATTAAATTGTAATCCAGATATACACTTTAAAATTATATCTGCTGTCGAGTCCAGTGCATGTATATATACAATTACTATTGAAACTAAATATGCTTGTTCGTCCAGTGTTTATTATGATACCTCAAAATCAAGTTATTTCGATTTAACTCAATTAACAAAGTAGGTATATATATCTTTTTGATAAATTTTTAAAAAAGAAAATATTAATATAAAGTTTAATTTTACTAGAAATAACGATAGAAGCATTACTATGTCCGCGAATGGATATTCATATATACTCCGTTATGCTGTTAGTACAACTGTACCATATTGTCAAGACTATGGTTCTCATTCCCTTGATTACCAGGCTTGTCAAAATATTAATGGTGTTATTTATCATGTTGGAAGTGTTAGTAATCAAACATCCCTTGCTTCTAGTAATGGTATTGTTGTTTCATATGTTTCTGCCCCAGATCCTGGAAAATTATGCCAAGGAAAAGATCAAAGAGTTTTAAATCTTGATTTGAGATGTGATTCATCTTCTGAATATTCTCTAAAAACTGCAAATGAAACTACAGGTACTTGGGCATGTTTTTATAATTTACAAGCAAATTCAAAATATGCATGTCCATTAACCTCACCACCAATCTTGCCAGCAATTATTCCTCCAGTACCCTATATTTTAGGTGGTCCAGCCTCAAATAATCCAAATTTAGAAAATCATTTAAATGGAAAATTCTATGATACATCAAGAAACAAATATTATGACCTTAGTGCTTTAAGAAGGTAATTATAATTTTAATATTATGAATTAAACAAATATGAATTTTTATACTTAATAGTTTTTAATTTTTTAGAGCTTCAACTGGAACACCATATACATATACAAGTGGACAATATGTGTACTATTACAATTTATTTGGTACAACCAATTCGTGTAACAATATAGCAAAAAATGAATGGTATCAATCATGTATTTTTAAATCAGGAACTGCTAGACTCCAAGGTCATTTATCATCATCCGATTATTCATTCATTGAAAATGGTGTAACCGTTGCATATTATTCAAATGTTTTCGATCCTGAATGTGGTTTTAATATTGATGGCTTAAGGAAGTTTGAAATTGAATTTACATGCGATCCATCCCAAGAATATACTTTGGGATTGGTTACAATAAATACTAATTGCTTCATTAAACTTCATATTAAAACCAAATATGCATGCCCAATTAATTCAATGTTTATTTTTGATAATTTAATATACAATCTCAAACAAATGACATTACCTTCTTCAAATAATCCATTTTCAGCTTCAGTCACTGTATCTGGAAATGAATACGACATTTTCTTTAATATTTTTAACCCATGTGACTATTGTAAAGCTAAAGCTCCAGAATCGGAATCGGAAACCCTTTATGCTGCCATCGTTCTAAAGTCTGGTACTTCTTTTCAAGTTATTTCTATTACTAATAAGCCAACTATTATCCCTAAAGTTTTTTCAAATGTTCCAGAAAAATATATTCAAGTAGCTTTTGGTTCTGTACTTCATGTAGCCCTTATGTGTGACCCAGAAACTTCTTATTCTATTTCAAGAATGACAATTCCATCATCAAATGAATATGTTTTATATATATATACAAAATATGCTTGTCCTTCATATAGATTGTTTGAAACAACAAATGGTGAGCTTATTGACATCTCCCCACTTCAAAGCTCAGATTTTGTAGAACCTTTTTCATTTATTAATCCTCAAAATAACGAAAAGATTTATTATACTATTGGTAATGGTGTTTATGGAGGATGTGGATCAGGTTTCCAAACATCGCAATCATGTATTGTTTCAAGCACAGGCTCAATAGCACCTATTGCTGATATTACAAAAAGTCAAATTATTACCAAATTATCAAACGGTTTACAAATTAGTTATTATGGTCTTGCATCAATTTCTTTTGATCCCCCACCAAATACAGATGATATTTATGGTTATCAATATCCTTCTTTTACAATTGATTTGCAATGTGACTCAACTATAAATTATGCTCTTGTAAGTTCAAGGGTTTATAAAAATTATGTATCAGTTAAGGCAAAATCAAAACATGCATGTTCCAAATTACCCTCAAACGACATTATTTACAATCCTTATGTACACCCTTGCGTATTAAAATGTGAAAAGAAAAAAATTACCGATATAAATAGTATATCTAACGTTCTTCAAAGTCTTGGTATTTGTAAAGTTGAATTAAATGTATATAATATTAATAATTTTATATTAGATCTATGGGTTGGAAACATTATTGAAGGTGACTATACAAGCGGCCAAGTTTATAAATTCCTTTTCACATCTGAGCCATCTGCCAATATTGTTCTTTCATCTTATGTAGCATTAGATGAATCAAATGATTGTACATATGGTGAATCTGGTAAGAACAAAGGTTCTATTACATTAACAGATATGTTTTATGTCACCAATGATCTTAAATTAATTACCTCAACTCAATCAAATTTAATCAAGACAACTAATGATCCATACACCAAAATATATTATAAACAATATTTTTCACAACCATACGGTCTTGCTATTATTGAATATAAAGGAAAACTTTGTTATTTTGAAGAAATCAAAAAAATCAACGCTGAAATTGATACCAAGTTTTTTGAAAAGTGTCCATTTTATTTCTTACCCGAAGTAACAAGTATAAGTTTGTCAAGTGGCAAAACAGGTGGGGATCTTAAAATCTTTGGTAGTCGTTTTCTTTCAGACTCATATAGGGCAGTCTTTTCAAGCCAAAGTGGAATTTCCTATGGTACCATAGACTATAAATCCAATGATGTAATAGTTGTTATTATCCCAAGAGGTATAGGTAGTGGTTTTGTTTATCTCGAAACATGGGGTGGTGCACAAACAAAAAAATTCGCATTCACATTCGAGAGAAAAAAAGAAAAAATTATTATCAACGAATTCCAAACACCAAAAGTTAATAGATTTTATTTTATTGGTCTTAGTTTTAGCTCTGTTATTAATCCATACATTATGGAGAATAATGAGTTAATTCATTGTGAATTCGAAAGTAGTTGTAATAAAGAATCAACATCTATTATCGAAGGATTACCAGAAGGTCAGTATGTACCCAATCGTCCATGTCTCAGTCAGCAAGCATATGCCTCAAATGAAAACTATTTCAACCCTAACCTGTACAATATTTTTGTTTGTATTAAAAAATCTTTGGGTGTTGGAAAAGGCACAATCAAATTTGATGAAACTGGTGAGTTTACCAACTATAGTTATAGTAAACCATTCTTTAATAAATTAAGCGAATATTTTATCACCGGAACCGATGGTGGATATATGCACATTAGTGGTACTAATTTACCTCCAACTAAGGAAGTTATTGATAAAGGTTTAACACCAACAGTTTGGCCAGAGACTAATGTTTACTTTGGAGGTATTGAGGTGCTAAATGTAGAATGGACAAATTCTACTAATTTCAAGGTTTTAATACCACCTGGTATTGGAATGGGTTCAGTTACTTTTAGAGTAGGCGGCCAGTTTCCTGAGCAAGGTGGATATTCTGTAATGTACAGTGCGCCATCAGTAACACCAAGAAGTCTTGGTTCGACAGATGGTGGCGAAATGTTTTTCATTGGTAAAAACTTAGTTCCATCATCATTAGCAAGTCAAGTCAATCAAGTACCACAAGATAGCTCAAATAATGTTAAATTTAATGAAGTTATTTCAACATCAGTAAAATGGTATAACTCTACCCATGTTAAAGCTATGGTCCCAAAAGGTATTGGTACAATCCCATTTTCAGTTTCAGTTGGAGGAAGCCGTTATTTACATATTTTCTCATATGATAGTCCATATATTACACCAACACCATATATTTCATTCGAAAATGATTTTATTACTATAAAAGGTCAAAATTTCGTACCGGTTGGAATTAATCCAGAAAATAGTACTGTTAAAATTGGCGATAGTTTATGTAAAGAAACCATTTGGGTAGATTCAAAGACTATTAAATGTAAAGTTCCAGCAGGTTCAGGTATTGGATTATCAATTGAAGTCTATATTGGTGTTTTAAAATCAGCTTTAAATAATTACTTTTCATATTACGATCAATGTGATCTTGTTTGTGACCAATTAACCAAAGACGAATTAGAAGACATTAAAAAAAATGGTAAAACCGACTTAAAGAGTTCTTTAATTTTAATGGGAAGTTGTTTAAACCAATTCAATAGTTACTCATCATTCGAAGCTATAGAGTCATTTATTTTAAATAGATGGGTTAGAGATCCAACACCAAAAAACCATATTTCAGGCCAATTATATAAATATTTAAATGGTGATTCATCAAAACAAACCATTCAATTATTAGGAAAATACTTTAAAACACCTTCCTTTAGTATTTTAGATGACGACAATACATGCACTTATAATACAAATAGAAGAACCTTTTCATTGTACGATATTATCAATGTTAGTGCTGATATTTTCAAATTAGTAGTTGCTTCTCCAGAAATTGAAGAAAATATTATAAATTATTCCAGTGGTTATTCAACATATTATTTTTCATCACCAAAATCTACAGAAACCAATATGGGTTTATCAATCGTTTTCATTAATAATAGAATCTGTAGTTTTATTGAGTCATCATATCAAAACTTTAAGAATGGTCAAATTTTAACATCTTGTCCAGTGGGTCCAATTGTCGATCAAGTCACCAACCCAACTACAACCACAGCTAATGGTCAATATTCGATCACAGTCCAAGGAAGATTATTTGATCAAAAAACATTAGTTAAAGTGAAATCTACTGAATGTAATATTAACTACAATGGTATTATAACTGATCCAACTACCAATACCCAAACATTAACATGCTCATTACCATTAAGCACCACACCAGAATTATCATTGGCTCCAATTTCAATTTATAATCAATATACCAAGGATTATTACGAGAATAGAAACACAATTATAAAAGATTTTGTCTTTAATTACCCAGTTGCCAAGGTTAATCAAATTATTTATCCAAACAATGACGATTCATCAGTCGAGATTGATTCAACTATTCAAATCATTGGTGAAAATTTCTTTACATTTGGCATTCAGCAATCTAGTGGTATCCAAGTTAAAAATGGGCAAATAGATTTAACACATACAATTTTTGACCAAAAAAGCACTGATGGAGTTGATTCTTTTTCAATTAAAGCAAGCAGTTTTGGTAAAACAAATATTATTAGCGTTTATTATTTAAATAACTTAATCATGAAACTTGGTGAAGATGTAGATAACGACTTTTCAATTTCAGAACCAGTTATAACCAGTCTCTCTAAATCAAGTGGTTCTTATAATGATATTGTTACTATATACGGTAAAAATTTTTATAATGGAAAAACAAGAGTCTATTTTTCAGGAGAAGAGTGCCAAAAAGTTGAATGGGTCTCAAATAAAGAAGTTATTGTCACTGTACCACATGGTTATCTCTATGCAATCATTAGAGTAAATGTTGGTAGTTCAATGAACGAAGAAGAGTTTAAATTTAACTATGGAGTCCCAACCATCGATAAAGTAATCTATCATACACAAATCAATACTAGTGTTTCAGATTATCTTGATAATTTCGTAGTTGTTGGTAGAAATTTAGGTTCTTATGTAAATGAACAACCAGATTTCTATATTTTAGATAATGTAATTACTTGCGATCCATATTTCTGTAGCGAAGATGAATTTGACCCAGAGGATGAAGAAAACCAATCAAGTATTTGTTCCTATTTAAAAAAAATAGGATATCAACACTACAACGAACTTATCGATATTTTCTATTGCTCTTTTGACTCTTTTATTGGTAAGAATCTTACAATTGATATCGAAATTATTGATGGTACTCAGGTTTCAAATAAAACATATATATACTCTTACTACGAGCCATATATCGAATGTGTGTCATTAAATCAATCAAACACTGATGGTGGTTTAAATATTACAATCAATGGTTATAATTTCCCACCATTTGAAACTTTAAGCTCTTACTATGATAATTCAGATATTACTTGGTCAGAAGAATCAAATGTTACAATTGGTTCTAATTATACCTGTGCAGTAGTCGAGTTTTTCAATTCAACCCAACTTAATTGCACAATCCCACCAGGAATTGGTGCAAATCATACAATTGTCGTCTTTGTTGGTCAACAAAACTCATCTTTGGTCAGCCAAGAATATTTATTCTCATATAATCCACCAGCATTTAATATTTCATCAGATAAAGAAAGTGAAGATAAAGTTTATTATAGGGCCCCAACCAACGGTACAGTTCAATTTATAATTAATGGCACAAATTTCATTCCAAAGGATTTATCAAGTTATTATAATGAATTTGAAAATAAAACATTAAATTATATTAAAATTGGGGAAGACTATTGTAATGAAACCAAATGGATCAACTCTACTTTAATCGAATGCAAACCACAAGCAGGTATTGGTGAAAATTTATTAGTTCAAGTTATGGTTGGTGGTCAAATAACAAATGAAACAGTTTATTTCTCTTACAATAAACCAATTTTGAATAATGTTAATCTCACAGCCCCAACAAATGGTACCAAGGAAATTACAATTTCTGGAGAAAACTTTATTCCAATCGAATTTATTGAAAAAAATAATGGCAATATCAATGAAACCGAAAACTTTATTGAAATTGGGGATAATAAATGTGATGAAACCAAATGGATCAATTCTACCCATGTTTCATGTAAACCATCACCAGGTGTTGGTAAAGATTATCTTATAGCAATTACAGTTGGAAATCAAAAATCAAACGAAACAGTTTATTTCTCTTATGATAAACCAATTTTGAATAATGTAAATTACACAGCCCCAACAAATGGTACCAAGGAAATTACAATTTCTGGAGAAAACTTTATTCCAATCGAATTTATTGAAAAAAATAATGGCAATATCAATGAAACCGAAAACTTTATTGAAATTGGGGATAATAAATGTGATGAAACCAAATGGATCAATTCTACCCATGTTTCATGTAAAATATCACCAGGTGTTGGTAAAGATTATCTTATAGCAATTACAGTTGGAAATCAAAAATCAAACGAAACAATTTATTTCTCTTATGATAAACCAATTTTAGGTCAGAAGAGTTATAACGGTTCAACAAATGGTACCACCACAATCGAAATTTCAGGTCAAAACTTTGTACCAAAAGAATTGGCCGAGAAATACAACAGTAATCAAAATGAAAATAATAATATTAAAGTTGATGGTTTCGATTGTTTAACCCTTGAATGGATAAACTCAACAGCAGTTAAATGTAGAGCTCCATCAGGCCAAGGAAAGGAATTAGAAATTAAAGTTTTAGTAGAAAATCAAGAAACTGAATCAAATAAATTTTTCTCGTATTATCCACCAACAATCGAATCTGTTGATCCAAATAGATATAGATCAAATAGTGATAATACTGTCAAAATTACAATTAAGGGCTATGATTTCGGTAAAGATAATCAAGTTGTTAAAATTGGTGATAATGATTGCACCCAGGTTGAATTTAACAATAAAGATTTAACATGCAACTTACCAAAATCAAATAAAGTTGGAAAAGAAATTGTAAAAGTAATAGTTGCTGGCCAAGGTTCAAACACTGATATTACCTTCGAATACTATGGTAATCCATTCATCAATAGTATCTCAAAACCATCTTTTACAACATTTGATGGTGGAGATGAAATTACAATCAAAGGTGGTAACTTTATTGAAAAAGGTGAAAACGAAGATGATCTCTCAGTATTATTCAATGGTGAAAGTGCAACAACTGTAGGTAAAGTTACAAATGAAACAATTGTTATTTTATCAAAGAAGGGTTATAAATCAAATACTCCAATTAAAGTAAATTTAAATGGACAAGAAAGTAATGAAGATACATCATTCTCATACTCTAATCCATCTATATCATCTGTTTCACCATCAAGTGGTAAATACAATCTTAAAATCCCAATTTCAATTAATGGTAAAAATCTAGGTTTACAAGGCGAAGAATCTGAATTATCAATTAGAATTGGTTCTTCAAGTTGTGATAGTGTTCATATTGTATCAAGCCAACTCGTAACATGCACTGTACCTTCAGTTTTAAGAGAAGAATCTGGTACAAAAGAATTAACCCTTAGATTCAATTCTAAGGATACCGAGTCTCAATATACTTATGAAGATGAAGATTCAAGTGATAGTAGTGATAGTAGTAATAGTAGTAAGGGTAGTGGTGATGATGATGGTGGTGATGATGGTGGTGATGATGGTGATGGAACCTCTACTTCTTCAGGTGGTGCTGCTGCTGCAGGTGGTGCTGTTGCGGGTGCTGCTGCGGGTAGTGCTACTGCAGGTGGTGCTACTGCAGGTGGTGCTACTGCAGGTGGTGCTACTGCGGGTGGTGCCGCTGCGGGTGGTGCTGCTGCAGGTGGTGCTGCTGCAGGTGGTGCTGCTGCAGGTGGTGCTGCTGCAGGTGGTGCTGCTGCAGGTGGTGCTGCTGCAGGTGGTGCTGCTGCGGGTGGTGCTGCAGGTGGTACAGGTGGTACAGGTGGCACAGGTGGTTTTACATCTACAAGTGGATCAACCAGCATATCAACAGGTATAATAGCAGGAAGCTCTTCAGACTGGAAAGACTCTTCAGACGCATCAGAGGACTCTTCAAGAGGCTCATCAGATAGCAAATCATCATCAGATAGTAGCTCTTCATCAACAAACAGTTCATCATCAGATAGTAGCTCTTCATCAACTAGCAGTTCATCATCAGATAGTAGTTCATCAGATAGCGATTCAACAAGCAGCTCATTAGATAGTGGCTCATCAGATAGCAGTTCATCAGATAGCAGTTCATCAGATAGCAGTTCATCAGATAGCAGTTCATCAGATAGCAGTTCATCAGATAGCAGTTCATCAACAAGCAGTTCATTAGATAGCGGTTCATCAGATAGCAGTTCATCAGATAGCAGTTCATCATCAGCTAGCAGTTCATCAGATAGCAGTTCATCATCGGATAGCGGTTCAGACAGTAGTTCATCATCTAGCGGTTCATCAGATAGCAGCTCATCAACAAGCAGTTCATCAGCTAGCGGTTCGTCAGATAGCAGTTCATCATCGGATAGCGGTTCAGACAGTAGTTCATCATCTAGCGGTTCATCAGATAGCAGCTCATCAGAAAGCAGTTCTTCATCAGCCAGCAGTTCAGATAGCGGTTCATCAGCTAGCGGTTCATCAGATAACAGTTCAGATAGCAGTTCATCATCGGCTAGTAGTTCTTCATCAATAAGCAGTTCATCAGATAGTAGCTCTTCATCAACAAGTAGTTCATCAGCTAGCGGTTCATCAGCCAGCAGCTCATCATCGGCTAGTGGTTCATCATCAGATAGTAGTTCATCATCAACTAGCGGTTCATCAGATAGTGATTCATCAGATAGCAGCTCTTCGTCAGACAGCAGCTCCTCATCAACAAACAGTTCATCTGATAGCAGTTCATCCAATAGCAGTTCATCAGATAGTATTTCATCATCAGCTAGCGGTTCATCAGATAGTAGCTCATCCTCTGCTAGTAGTTCATCAGATAGCATCTCCTCATCAGATAGCAGCTCATCAACAAGCAGTTCATCAGATAGTGGTTCATCGGCTAGTGGTTCATCCGATAGCAGCTCATCATCAGCTAGTAGTTCTTCAGAGAGCAGCTCTTCATCAGCTAGCAGCAGTTCATCATCAGATGGCTCCTCAACCAGTAGCTCTACATCAGCTAGCGGTTCATCAGATAGCAGCTCTTCATCAGCTAATAGCTCATCAACTAGCAGTTCTTCATCAGATAGCAGTTCATCAAATAGCAGTTCATCAGATAGCAGCTCATCATCAGCTAGTGGTTCATCAGATAGTAGCTCCTCATCAACAAGCAGTTCATCAGATAGTGGTTCGTCAGATAGTAGTTCATCAGACAGCAGCTCCTCATCAGCTAGTGGTTCATCAGATAGCAGCTCTTCATTAGACAGCAGCTCCTCATCAACAAGTAGTTCATCAGCTAGTGGTTCATCAGGTAGCAGCTCTTCTACTAGCAGTTCATCAACCAGCAGCTCATCTGCAGATAGCGAAAGTTCATCAACTAGCGAATCAAATGATAATATAAAATGCATTTATAACCCAATCGATACAATTTTGTCTTTTAACAATCCAAATAATGAAGCCATAACATGTATTGACAGTACCGGCTCATCAAATATATTTACAAGTGGTTTTAGTTGCACAAATACATCTTCAACAACAATAGAATGCTCGAATAATAATGGTACAATTACTTTCCAAGATTCTGTTAGATGTTATCTAGACAACCAAGAACTTATTGGATGTTCACTAGGAACTTTAGAGGGTCCCATTGGATCATTTTATTTGACCAATCAAACATTAAAATGCCACCAAGAAAATAACAAACTAACTATTGAAAATACTGGTGATAGCTTTATTTTCTGTTCAAAAGGTAATGACTATAATTACAAACTCGAATTTTATAAAGAAATAGAATGTTCAAAATCAATTGACCCAGAAACATCGCTTGAATCTATTGGCTGCTTTATGAAACACAATCCAGACTATATTATGTACTTTGATACATCAGTAAGATGCTTCATTGATAATAAATCATCATGTTTTATGGAAATTAACCAATCAACAATATAAATTTATCATAAAAATAAATAAAAATAAAATTTTTCTAAAAATTATTTTTACATTTTTAAACTTTAATTTCATCTTTTTTTTGAAGTTCCCGGATATAGAACACCTGATATAGAAGGTGAAATTAGATTCTTCAAATGTGGTATTAAATATCAGTATATATTCCCCCATGATTAGATTATATAGACGAAATAAAAGACTATTAATAAAATTTTCTAAAAGTGGACTGTAACTATCTTTAAAAGTATAATTTTTTTTTTTTTTTAAAAGTGAAGATAATTAAAAGCAAATGCTTTAAATTATTCTTTTTTTTTTTTTTTTTTTTTTTAAAAAAGCTTACTTAATAATATAATAGTGTAAGCGACTGTGTTTATTTATATTTAAATATAAGAAGAAGTAAGGGTTGGGGTAAGGTTGAAAATTAATCAAAAAAAAAATTAAGTCATCAGTTTATTGTGTTTGGTATGTGTTTACCACACTGCACACAAGTTGGGCACGGTAAAGTCAATTCGTGTGTGATTCGGAAAACTTGCTGAGACTGGGTTTCGAATCCGGAGCGGTAACTTGTAGGAAATTCGTTCGACCATTTGGCTATCATTGCTCCCCCACGGTAATGTCAATTCGTGTGATTCGGAAAATACAAATCACACAAAAGATAAAAGCTAAAAAAGATTCCGGCTTGCCAGACTCGAACTAGCAACCGATTGATTGTAATGTAGGTACAAATCTATTAGTTATTTAAAGTAAATAATATTTATTAAAGTAATAAAACGATAATTATTTAAGTTATGAATATTATGTATTTTTGAACTAAAACCGAAAAACTATTTTATTTTTATTTTTTTAAAATTTTTAAATTTTTAATTTTTGAAAAATTATTTTAAATATTTTTATAATTTTAATTATTTGATTTAAATTATAAAAAGTATTTAAACTTCGTTGATTAATGTGTTTGATATATAAAATGATTCTTATCTTGAATTATTAACTAAAATGATATATAATAAGCAGTGATTACATTACATATCCCCTTTCTTGACAAGATTCCCAAAATTAAATGAAATTTTTTTTTTTTTTTTTTTTTTTTATGTTTGTGGAAGAGTTGATTATCGTGTTAAACTTGTTTATTAAGTCTCTTCTGGTGTGCTAAAAAATTATTCTCAACTGGAACTGTTTTTGCAAGCTCATCTTCAAATTGACGTACTAACATAGGACAATCTTCTAAGTAGTGCTGTGGAACCCATACATCGTTATCTTCACCAGCATTCTTGTAACGGATTAAATATTCGATTCTTGACCCTTTACCATATACTCTATTTCTCTTATTAACGATTGTGTCTATTTCTTCTACCACAGGGATTTGAGTTTTACGTCCTCTATCTACGAATAAGTTTCTATCTTCTTCAATGAATGGTTTAATATCATTGACATGAACTACTCTGACGCCATTAGCTCTATCCAACAATCTGATTTTGTAATTTAGTTGAGTTTTTCCTTCAATTACTCTAAATGGACCACAATATCTTGAAAGTAACTTATCTTTGTCTATTTCCAATTTAAATGTATCCAATTTACTTCTTTTCACCCATACCCAATCACCTACTTCATATTCAATATCCTCTTTGTCTTTATTGTATTGAATAGCCTGTTCAATCTGTGCATCAACCATATTATCTTGAGCAACCTGTCTAAATACCTGTAATCCTTCTGTATAACTGACATTATATACTGTATTAATATTTAATGGTACTCTTGCTTCGTAACCATAAACTACGCTCATTGGTGTTTTCTGTGTTGATGTGTTGACTGTACTATTAATTGCAAACTCGGTACTCTTAATTTCCCTATCCCAATTAACCATCTTTTGACCACTTTTTCTTAATATATCTAATAAGGTTCTGTTAACTCTTTCAGTTTGGCCGTCTGCTTGAGCTCTACCTGGTGCTGTGGTTTTTAATACCATTCCGGTTTCTTTAATTAATTCGCCCCATAATTCGGTTGTGAATAGTTTATCATTGTCGCAAACAATAGTGAGTGGTAATCCATATGAACAAACGATATTATCCCAAAACAACTTGCTTACTTGACTAGCGGTAATTGTCTTCTTACAAGGTATTAACTTGACCATTTTACTAAGTCTATCCACGACTACAAACAAATAATCATTACCATCTTGAGTTGTAGGTAATGAGAGAAAATCCATCGTAACATCATTCCAAGGTCTAGCAGGTATTGGTAACGGATTTAGTAAACCATGCTTCTCCCTTTCGATTCTAACCTTTTGACATTCTGGACAAGCGGCTACATAAGCTTTAACACGTTTCCAAAACTTGGGAAAATAAAAACTTGGTCTGATTCGTGCTGTGAGTCTGTATACTCCTGGATGACCTGCATAATTAGAAAGATGACCTTCGTCTAAAATTTTAGTAATTTGAGCTTTGTCCACTAAAACTAGTCTTCTTGAATCTGTTGTAGCATCAATTAAGTATAATAAACCATCTTTTTCCAACATATCATTTCTTAATTTTGCTGTCTCCAACCATTTCTTACTGTATTCATCCGCAACTTCATACGATTCCTTAACTTGATCTAAAAACCCATCGTCCCAATCATAATAAAATTTGGCGTTACGACTGAGAAAATCTGCTGCAATATTCTTCTTACCCTCGATGTGTACTAACTCGTAACTGAACATACTGATTAAGTCTAACCATCTAATTAACCTTTTAGGTGTCTCTTGTTTAGTTTGATAATGAGCTAAATTAAGATGATCCGAGTAAACTATAAATTTATTACCTAACAATAAATAATCAAATTTCTTCAACACATTGATTAACGCTAATAATTCTCTATCGGTAGTTGTATATGATTTCTGAAAACTATTAAATTTCTTCGAGTCGTACAATACTGGACGTTCATTATTATCACTGTCGAACTGAGTGATCATGCAACCGGTACCAACATCGCTTGCATCAATATAGACATGGAAAGTCTTCTTTGGATCTGGTTTGATCAACAATTTGGACGACGCTAAAGCCAACTTTAATTTCTCGATATCGTCTATAATCTTATCTGAAAGCTTTAACTTGGTATAATTCTTACCTGACGTAATGGATGTGAGACCTGCAGTAAGTTCTGTATAACTAGGAATAAACCGTCTATAATAATTACACAAACCTAAGAAGCTTCTAACTTCACCAATTGTAGCAGGAATAGGATACTCCTGAATGGCTGCTATCTTCGAATCTCTTACTTTAATACCTTCTGCGCTAATAACATGACCTAAAAACTCTACTTCAATACAAAAGAATTGACACTTCTTACTGTTTAAATAGACCTTGCTATTTCTGCATCTTTCCAAAACCAATTTAATATGTTCCATATGTTCCTCTATCGTATCCGAATAAATAACAATGTCATCCACGTAAATAGCTAAAAACTTTTCAAACCCTTCCAAAACTGATTGAGCGAACTTATTAAAATACGCTGGAGAGTTCTTCAAACCAAATGGAGCTCTAGTGAATTGATACAATTTACCACCGGCTCTAAATGCTGTATGATGACGATCGTCTGGATGTAATAACAATTGATGGAACCCAGATTTCCAATCTAATTTAGAAATGTATTTAGCATTTCTCGTTTTATATAAAAGTTCATCCGCATTAGGCATTGGGTATTGAAATTCTACAGTTTGGTTGTTCTTTAACCTGTAGTCGAAAACTAATCTATCCCCCTTTGCTAAAAACGCTGATGTGCTATTGGCTGACGTACTCTCTTCGATAATCCCTCCATCCAATAACTCTTTTACTTTCTTGAAGATGTTATCTTCTTCTTGTTGTGACCTTTTACCGTAGTTAACTTTGACTGGCTGACTGTTCTCCTTGACCTTAATACGCATATCTAACCCTGGTCTGACTGGAGGTGTGAAATTTGGTAATGATTCCACCAAAACATCCTTGAACTTATTATTTATCCAATCCGTGTATTCTTTAACTTTCGCATCCAGCTGTTCTTTGTTTAATTCATCCACTACTTTTGGGACCTCCTTGCTAGCTGCTACTTCACTAACTACTTTATCAGTTTTTTCAACATGATCACTTACTTTGTCGTTAACAACCGCACCTTTCATTACGGTTATCCTTAACGTCTTCATCGACATTAACATTCTACCATTCACCTGTAGATCTTTAAAACTACCACTGGCTACCACCTTCGAATGATTATCAACGACCTTCTTATCCTTTTCGAATAAGGTTAATTTAACTTTATGAGCTAATTTATTATTATCTGCATCCTTAAATATCTTGATAATGTGAGGATCTTCAATACGTAACGACTGTACCGAATCTACCAAAAAATCCAACCCGATTACCATATCATGCTCCATGTTAATTGCATAAAACTTCATATCGGTTGACATTTTTCCATCCAATGTTTTAAACTGAACAGTAGCCTCCACACTCTTCTTAGCAACGTCTTCTCTATAAACATCACCAATTGGATACCTGACCTTAATATCTTTTACAAAACTTTTTAACCCATAACAATACTTGTTGTTTAACAAACTGACGTTACAACCAGTATCTATCAATGCACGTAAATAATATTTACCTATACGCACACCCATTGCAAAACTTGTAGGCTTCTGCATACCTATCGGTACCAATATATTATTTGGCGAGATCTGGACAACTGTTTCTGACATGTCCCTCTTTCTTGCAGTAAAAGCATGTGAGCCTCCCCTTAACAAATGGTTTTCTAACCTTTTCTTCATCAGTTGGTTTATCTGATTTCTCTACAGCATTTTGTACTTTAACACTGTTAAATTCTTTGACCCTTGGTGTAACCTTCTGTTCTCTCTCCTTCTTATCTAAATAATTTTTGTAAGTTACCTCACCAATGTCCCTTAACACTTTGACCCATTCCTCGATCGATTTCGTATTACCCTTTGTAATTGTTTTATTATATTTATCAACAAATTGTGTTGTGATAAAATTAGGTAGGTCGACCTTGAGTTCAGCGATCCTTTGATGGTCGGTGTAGTTTTCCCAAACCATTCTATTCTCCAAGAACAAGCTGCAATAAGACCCTAGATTCTCTCCATAAATACTAATCTTTCCCTTGGCCTCCTTCAAACTCATTCTTAACTTATTTTCACGCTCTGCCTTGTTGTCGTGATCCTTCATATATCTGACGTAACCGTTCCATTCCATTTGACCTCCATTGTTAACAATATATTCTCTAGTGATATCTCTAAACTTGATACAACTTTCTTTATTATAAAATACTACTTGGGTTAGTTGTTCGAGTTTCTCTTCGATTTTGCTGTAGCCATAATTATTTAAATGGAACCAAGCACGTTCACCATATTTCTCGACTGTGCTGTTGCAAATGATATTACAAATATCATCAATATCGTCGTTCTTCAGCTTCATACGGCTAATAGTCTTGTTGACTTGGTTTTCTACTACCACAACGTTTTCACTAACTTTTTGGTCCTCTCTAGACTTGCTTAGTTGGGTTACCCTGCTTTCTAGGCTTTTTATATCTCTTTCATTATCGATTATCACGTATTTTAACTCTGCATTTTCGTCACTTAATTCTGCGAGCTTCTTCTCACGTCTTTCTGAGTTCTTTTTGAGAACTGCAATTTCGCTTTCTAAATCAATACGGATAAATGTGTCTCTCTGACTCTTTTCCTTCTCTTCCTTACGCATTGCTTCAGATGTGGCTAAAAGAGATATTTTATCTTCGACTATACGTTTTAATTCAGCCAAATCCATTAAAAGTTTTTTGTTCTCCTCTTTTAAAGAGATATTTTCGCTAAGTACTCCATCAACGGTTCTGTTTGTTTTCATCATTTTTTATTATTATTGATTATTATTAAGTATTACTTATTACTTATTACTATTAATTGTTATTAATTATTACTATTATTATTATGTTAAAAAAAAATATTATTATAAACTATTATTGTTCTACTAAATTATCTATTCGTGATTCAACAATTTCTTTTTGTTTCGACCCGGGCCTCGATACAACTAGATAATATGTGTGGAAAAAAAAAGTGTAATGTAGGTACAAATCTATTAGTTATTTAAAGTAAATAATATTTATTAAAGTAATAAAACGATAATTATTTAAGTTATGAATATTATGTATTTTTGAACTAAAACCGAAAAACTATTTTATTTTTATTTTTTTAAAATTTTTAAATTTTTAATTTTTGAAAAATTATTTTAAATATTTTTATAATTTTAATTATTTGATTTAAATTATAAAAAGTATTTAAACTTCGTTGATTAATGTGTTTGATATATAAAATGATTCTTATCTTGAATTATTAACTAAAATGATATATAATAAGCAGTGATTACATTACATGATAACAGATTATTACTACAGTCAATCGCGCTACCATTGCGCCAAAGCCGGATTTTATATTTTTCAGTAATGATACCTCATAAAGATAATGAAAGTTTTCAAATAATAATTCTTAAAATAGTAATTAGAAGTTTTATAATAATATCTCTTAAAATAGTAATAATAAGTTTTATAATAATATCTCTTAAAATAGTAATAATTTTCCATTTATAATATATTTAGTTGAAACTGTCACATGTTTAACATATATATACATTCATGTCAACTTGTTTATGATAGTATAAATACTTCAGTAATAATTCTTTATTAATGACTTATATATATTAAATATTAACTTCTAATAACAATAACAATAAATAATATAATAACTAAAATACTTAAATAAAGGTTTCTAAACTATATTTCTATTATAACTATATTTCTTTATTAAACTTAGTAATATTCCTGTAACTCCGAGTGGAGCTCTAACTGTAACCATCTTTCAGATAGGGGTTCCATCACATTTCTGTAATATAATGAATTAATTACTAAACAAAATGTATGATAAACAAAATGTATGATAAACTAAATGTAATTAATTATAATAATAATAAAACACAAAATAAAGATAAAATAAAATATAATAAAACCAAAATAAATATATAAAAATATTTAAAAAATTATATTTTAAAAAATAACAAATCTTTATTAAAACTAAAAATTACTAATTATTATTATTTATAAATTCTATAACTAAACTATTACTTATTACTTTCTCTACTATTCTCTCTCTCTAAAAATTATTTTTGAATTTTAATTTATACTGAAAAATATTATTTTTAAAAAATTAAAATTAATTTAAAAAAATATTTAATTTTAAAAATGTGTTTACAATTGATGATAAATATAAAATAATAGATGTGTGATTATTTAAATTAAAAATGTGTCTAAATTTTATGATAATTATATGTTTGTCTTTTTCTAATAAATGTGATATATGTTTATGATTATTATAATAAATTTGAATTGATTTTAGAACACCTCGAACCACTTTTTTTTTTTTTATATGTAATTTTTTATTTTTTTCACATAAAAAAAAAAAAGTGGTTCGGGGTGAATTGTTGTTATATCACATTCAGTAGAACAAGACCCCTATAAGGTTTAAACATATAAAGTAGGAGTTTAAATTTATAGTATAAATTAAGAAACTCCCTTTTGCAAAGTTGGTCACCTCAAGCCTTAGTTGTGCATAGTGCACTTTATTACATTTCTATATTTATCCGGTCCTCGGATCTTTAAGGTGATTAATGGGGTATTTACTACACTCTTAAAAATAACCAATTAGGTTATTTTTAACAAATAAAGTTAGAGAAACATACACCAAATAAATAAGTTATAACTACTACATTTAAAGTAGCTGATAAACCAACTCCATAAGCTAAAGAATCAACTCGAGTTAAAAAAATAAAGATTCCCCAGCTTTTAAATCAACCCAAGCCAAAAAAGTCAAAGAAACCCATCAAATATAAACATCTTTAAAACAATAAATTTTAAAAAATAATATCTTAAAAAAATTTATTTATTTTCATTATTTCAAAAGTTTAGATGTGGCAAAATAAATTTATTTTTAATATTTTTGATTAATTAAATTTTAAATTATTAAAGAACCAAATAGTGTGGTTTAAAAAAAATAATATTGAAATCTTTATAATATTATTCTTTATTAATCTGTAATGAAAAGAAAAAAAGAAAAAATATCAATACAAATTTTTTTATTTATTTATTTGTTATTATTTTTAGTTTTATTTTAATTAAGTTTAAGCGGAAGGAGTTGGATTTTGGGATAAAGGACGACAAAATTGGGAGGCTGATTTTAAGAATAACTCATCAATTTGAGAATATTTTTCTAAAATTTGTTGTTGTTTCTTCTCTTCGTCTTTTAATTGTTCACGAGTGGCTTGAACTTCAAATAATTGTTCTAATTGTTCATTAGTAAGACAGGTAATTTGGGCTTGAATTTCATTCCAAAGATCAGTTTGCATTGGAACTAAAAAGAAATTGTAAAGTTTTAATAAAACATTTTTGGTTATTCTTTGACGAATTGAATCAAATAATTTGGTGGCTAATTGACAAACAGCAGTTTTAGTTTCATGGTGATCACTTCTAATTGATGGTAATGAGCTATCTGGGTGTTCGGTTAATTCCCAATAGATGGTTCTTGATGAATAAAATTCGTCCATGCATTTCTCTTTGCAACCTTTTGAAGCTCTATGAACAAAATCATAGTAAAGATTTTTAACATGATGGGTAAAGAATGGATATTGATCAATGTTATCCATATCTACATTGTTACTTGAAAGACGACCATTGAAGCCAACACGACTCTTTTTACGTGAATCAATTACTTTATCGGCAATATCTGTTAATCTCTTCATGATATACATTGCACGTTCGCATAATTGCTCAATTAATGGAACAAAGGTGTCTCTAGAGATAAGTGAGGTAAGATCACTAGCTGCCCATGCATAATCTGGAATATTATTAAGTTTATTGATACCAGAGGCGGTGGCGATATCATCCATTTTAACTTCAGAGATTTTACTATTGTCACAAACAGCTTTGAACTCGGCCATTAATCTTTCTAATTGTTGACCACCATATAATCTGCTGTTCCAATATGGAATACCCCATTCTTCTGGGTCAATATTGATAGTTTCTTTATAGGCATCAACCCATTCACCACAATCTCCTTGATGAGCTTTTTCTTCTTCTAAAGTTTGACCATTGGCTGATGGATTACCTTCAGAGGTACCAGATAAAAGTTTTTCGGTGATTTGAAGGAAGGTAACAGTATAGTTTGAGGCAATTGAACGAAGTTTGGTTGCATCTAATGAAGAATATTGTTTTTGGAGTTCATTGAGAGTGGCTTCGGCATTTTGACGTTTTGCTCTTAAGTGTTTAAGAATACGTGGGATTGTATCTTGATAGCTCTTCCAAACAATATTTAAAATATATTTTCTTAATGGTTGGACACCAATTGAACGTTCATATCTCTTGTCATATTGAAGTTGTTCGAGAGCGTGCATATCTCTTTTATGGGCTTGATAGATTTTTTCTTGGAAACGATTTGGTTCAGAGAAAGATGCACGAACTTGATAGTTTGGTAATGTAACAAAGAATGGTTTAATGTCTGGAACAGTGCCACTAAGATATTTGTTAATATCACGGGTGTTGCTGAAACCACGTACTGTATTAAAGAATTTTGTGAAAACAAAAGTACTTCTGGAGAGTTCTGGATCAATCTTCTTTAAATATTGGTTCATTGACATAGTTTTCCAATCTTGATTACATGATTCAACGGCAATAATTAAACGATGAGTTGGACGTAACAATGATGAAACAATCGATTCAATTTTAGTTGACTCGGCAGTTTCGGTTGGTGTAAATAAAAGACCTGGTGAATCAATTAAAGTCATGTTGAGTGTGTTTCTTGATTCAATTGTGACATAGATTGGTTCTTCTGAGAAGTCACTTGAGTTTCTTTTGGCTAAACTGTCATTTAATTGTTCTAATGGAATAATAATATCGTGATCAAACTCTTTAAGGTTATTATCTTTTTTAATAGTGACTTTTGGGATATCACAATCGTTATTATTGTTAAATTGTAAATATAAAACTCTCTTTGAACAACCATTGGCCAAAGTTGAAGATGCACCAACAATATTTAAAGCTCTACCAATAAATGCTTCAATTAATGATGATTTTCCTGATGATCTTGGTCCAACAAATACAATTTCTGGATGTAATACTGATGTATTTAAACTAAATAAAAAAAAACTTATTAGCATTAAGATTATTAAAAATCAATCTAATTTTAATCTTAACTTACTCTCTTGAAAAGTATTGAAGTTTATCATATGATGAATAAACTTCATTTGGGAAAAAGCTAAATAAATCATGACAGTTTGAAGATGATGAATCATTTGAAAGTTTGCCCATTTGTTCAAGTGATTGAATTTCAACTTGTTCATTTAACTCTTTATTAGCGGCGGCATTTGCGGCACTTGCAGCATTAGCCCTTCTAATTTCCTCTTCACGTCTCTTTCTTTCTAATTCAGCTTGTTCTTTTCTAATTCTTTCTTGTTCCTCTTCTTTCTTTTTTAATTCTTCAGCTCTTTTTCGTTTTTCTTCTTCTTCTTTCTTTATACGTTCCAATTCTTCATTACTATTTTGATGGGTTGGAGTTGTATTACCACTTTGTGATTGTTGTGGTTGTGATGGTTGTTGTGGTTGTTGGCCTGTAGTTGATCCTGCTAATGCTTGTAAATTAGTTTGACTAGTTGATGTAGTTTGGAATGATGGCTGTGGTGATGATTCTATTTTACCTAAAGAATTATTTAATTCATTATTTATTGAGTTATTTAATGAATTATTGTTATTATTATTATTTTGTAAATTTAAATGATAAAGTGTACGATGATGATTAGTACTTGATATCATTTTTTATAGTTTTAAATATAAATTGTTTAAACAAAAAAATAAAAATAAAAATAAAAATAAAAATAATAAAAAAAACTGAATAAATAAATTATTGAATAAAAAATAAAAAACAATAAAATATATATTTTTTTTTGATTAAATAACTAAACCCATTCTCACTTTTTTATTCATATAAAAAAAAAAAATTTTAATATTTCTTTAAAATTTTATTATTTTTATCTGTTTGTATGTATAGTTTTTTTTTTTAATGTGTGAGTAGTGGGGGGCATAAGAAATCATATTTATAAAATAGATATATGTATATTTTACTCCCATTATTTACTTTCTTTTTAATTTATCCAATTTTGAGATTTAGTATTATAAAAAACTATCCATTATTTATAATTATGTATATATATTATATATTTTATGATATTTTATTGAATGTTTTATTAATTAATTAATTTATTAATTAATTTATCTTAATAATGATTCTTTTTTATTTTATTTTATTTTTTTACAAATCTATTAATGCATATTTAAAGATCATTTATAATAAGATCTAAAATGAAAAGACAAAGGGAGAAATAATAATAATAAAAATAAATAAAAATAATAATTACCATCATCGTGTTTTTTCTTTTTATCGTCAGATTTATCTTTTTTCTTGAAAACGGACATTTTAAATTGAGTTAAAACTATAGGAAAAAGGTAATAGTTTAAAAGTTAATACAAATAATTTTAAGACTATTGAACAATAATAAATAAATAAATAAATAAATAAATAAATAAATTAAATAAAGAAATATATAACAATAAAGAAATAAATAAATAGCAATAAATAATAAATAAAGAACAAGAAATAAATAAATAAATAATTTAAAAATAAATTTTAATATAATATTAAAAATTAAAAATAAATTAAAAAATTTAAAAAAAAAACAAAATATAGTGTGGGTGTTTTATTTTAGAATGTTAAAAAATTTATAAAATTTTGATTTATGTTTATTTATATTCTATATATACAATATAGTATCCTCTCTCTATAGACTATTATTGATAATATATGGTATATATTGAAAAAATTAAAATTAAAATAAAAAAAAAAAAATATTTAAAAGAATCATCAGATTTATTTTGATTTTTTTTTAAAATTTTTTTTTTTTTTAAAAATTTTTATTTTTATCCAATTATCCATTTTTGGTGGTATTAATTTAAAATATATTTGGTGTGTTTGTGGGTGTGAGTGTGGTTAATATATGTATACAGCGAATCATTGATTTTATATTATTTATTATTAATGGGTTAAAAAAACAATGTGCACACACATTAATACATTATATATATCAATTTAAATGGATTCCAATGTATACTATTAATAATGGTGATATACATATACAATATACACTTGAGGTGAATTTGTTGATTATTTAAAACAAATTATAAATAGATTATTTAAGTGGGTTTGTTTTTTTTTGTGTATGTTGCATTAAATTAGATTATTCTTAAATAAAAAAAAATAGGAGAATTTGGTATTTATAAATAAAGTAAACAAATAAAATAAAATAAAAATAACAAAGAACAAAATTTACGAAAATCACCAAAATAAGATATTTATAGATTTTACATTAAGAAAAAGAGAAAGAGAGACACAAAAATAAAACAAGTAAATAATAAATAAATAAACAAATAAAAGATAGATATGCAATCGAATTAAGTTTTCGGTGTATTATTAATTTAAAATTATACACATTTAAAGAAAGTAGTACCTTTTCCTTAATTTAATTTAATTTAAAAAAATAGAAAATAAAATGTGAATTTACTTTATTGTAGTGTTGCTATTAATTGTATATTATTACTATTATTATTATTAGAAGTAATTTTAATTATTATAAAAAAAATAATTAAAATTGTAATATTATTATTTATTATTATTATAATTATTATAATTTATTTTTTTAAAACTAAACCAAAAATATAAACTATAAACTATAAGCTTTATATTTTTCTTTGTTGTTATTGTTTTAAAATTGATTGCTTGTTTTTTTTTTTTTTTTTTTTTTTATATTGGGGGGGTAAAAATTTTTTATTTTTGAAAACCCCCGTTTTTTAAATATTTTATTTTTTTTGTGGAAATAAAAGGGTGCTCTTTTTTGGAAAAAAAAACGCAAAAATTCCCCCCGGTTCCCAGGTTTT